TTATTGATAGGTATTGATTGTTCCTGTCATTAACTTATTTTTTTCTTGTTGATTCCCTCTTCCTTCCTGTTTAACTGCTCAGCACACCTGCTGTATTCACTGCAGTGAGACATTTTGCCATTGTCAGGTTAATCATCTCTTCCTAGGCTTCCCTTGATAATTTTTTGAAGGGCTGATTTGGTGGTCATGAATTTCTTTGACTGGTTTATCATGAAAGTATCTTATTTCTCCACCAGTTCTGAAAGATAATTTTGCAGGATATCTCGTCTGACTTGGAAGTTGTTTTCTTTTAAAGCTTCAAACACTTTACTCCAAAGTTTCCTGACCTTTTGGGTATGTGCTATGAAATTTGCAGTTATTCTAGTGGATTTACCTTTAAAAGTGACTTGTATTGACATCACTGAGCAAACTCAGCCTGGGAACCCAGGCTGGGAACTAGTGCCATGTGCAGACCCCTGCCAAACTGGGACAGCCAGACCCTAGCCTCTCCCCAAGAGTCAGCACCATTCTCGACTAGGGATAGAGAAAACACATCAATGAACAAACCCACTCTGGGAAGCAGCGCCATGCATGGACCCCCACCAGACTGGAACAACCAAACCCTAGCCCCTTCCAGCACCTAGGCTGGCAAACAAGAAGTACCATCCTACAGCCCCCCCTCCCATAAGTGACTGGCTTATCCAGAGAAACACAGGCTGTGATGATAGCTATGGAGGCGTACCTGCGGTGCTTTGGTGTTTCACTAGCTTTGCAGGTCTAGAGCCGGTGGACCGATCATGGGTTCAGAGCATAGTGGTACAAACATTGCAGCCATTGTTGATTCCCCATGGTCTTGTTTTGGAAGTCCTTATATCATTTCCATTGTTTTGTTGGGTTTGGTTTTATTCTCTATTGTTTTATTTGATTATGTTAAATCTGATGGCAGAAGCAGCTGTTTCAAAGATAGCAAGATATACTATGGTAGCAATTTTGGATTTACTATAATCCTTTGAAGTCCTTTATTGCATTCATTTTTCACTAATTTCAGTTAATGTTAGATGAGACTTCTTTCATGATCTAGGACTTCTTGGACCCATTTTTCATGTTCTCGTTTTTTAAAGATTTTTCTCCTGAACTGGTGGTCACTGACAACTTCCTGTCTATTAGTCCTCATATTGCCCATTTCTGCTGCCCATACTTTCTTTTTTTTCTTATAAAAACAAGCAAAATAAAACAGAAGAAAGCCGATTACAGCAAACAGTGTGACACAGGACTTCAAAACAATACAAAATCAACATTTGTTACCATAATGCTTCTTATTGTCTTCAAAACAGCTGTAGATAATTTCAGACATAGTAAAAACCAACCAAAATAGAACAGAGTAGAACCAATAAAAATAAAACAATGAATGCAATAAAGGACTTCAAAACAAGACAATAGTAATTCCAAAATGGCTACCATAATATATCTTGCTATCTTTGAAATACCTGCCCATGCCATTGGATATAACAAAATCAAACAAAACAAAACAGAATACTAACCAACAAACAATGAAAATGATATAGGACTTCACATCAAGATAATATGGAGTTCACAATGGCCACCACCTTCAGGAGATACTCCCTGTGTTGTAGTCAGGGGTTGTACACAGAGAACAATTAGGATTAGGACATGGAGTTTATAATATTTTTATAATGGTCACCGGGAGTTAGCACAGGAAAATGCAGGAAATCTGTCCGCAACACCAAAGACATAGAATATTTAGTCAAGAGCCTAAATCCCATGGCAGTGTTTCACATGAGTCCAGATAAAAATCCAGAGCTCAGGACAGCACCTCCCACGAGTCCAACTGGAGGTCCAGAGCTCACAAGAAGGATTCACACCAGTCTCTTTTACGGATCCGTGCCAGGAAGGCCCACAGGTCAGCGGTGGAAGCTAGAAAGTCTATGTCAGCAGGATAAAGGAGCTGTGCTAGTGGGATGAAGGTTCTACGCTGGAGCTGAGAAGTCACACTCACAACAAAGACCAGGGCTGTCCTGAAAGGCACCACAGCCGTCCTCAGTGACTCGGAGGACCCGAGCTCCTCTGACGATAAGCACAGTCGGGTACATGCCAGGAAGCAGCATGACGAGTTCATCTTGAAGACCAAGCAGCACATGTCTTCCCCTCTGGAGCCAGGAAGCAATGCTCGATGTGAGGACCAAAGCTTCTCCAGGAAAACCAACAGCTCAGACAGCAACTCGTAGGAGAATACACAATGCCTCCTTAATGCCTCAACCCTCAACACCTCCCTTCTTCTCCACCTATTTATCCTGGCAACTTTCCTCAGGTGGAGCATCTTCGCTCAATGCCATGCTGATGTAATCCAGCTAGTGTTAAGTTGACCACCAGTTCTTAACCCATAACACCCTGGATGCCACACTGTATACTATGATACTCTGAATAGATGGTCAGACCACCGGCCCTATCCCTGCAAAGTCAGTGAAACAGGAAACACCACTAGCATCAATTTGCATTTCACCTCAGTGGATATCATCACCGCCTGTGTTTCTTTGGGTCAGCAGGCTGTTTATGGGGTGGGGAGGAGAGGAGGCTGGCCTTTCTTGTTTCCCAGCCCAGACGCCAGAAGGGCTTGCTTGTTTTATATTGAAATTTGTGAGTTCATTGTAATGAAAACTTTGTTTCTAGTATGGAGACCTCCTTGGTTAATATGTACTCTTTAGTGATATCCTCTGGCATGTATAATTCTTGGCCTTGACCTCTGGTCCAGGATCCAGTCAGCTCTGTATACTTCAGATGGGAGAGTGCAGCATCAGTACCCAGTTGTCCTGGAATGGACCACAGTGTTGTTAAGGACCCCAATGCAATCTAGATATTGGCATCTGTTACAGTTTGTGTTCAGAGGGCTGCCCCAAGCTTCGTGCAGTCATGGAGGTGGCTGAATCTAGCATTTGTGACTGGTTCATGGTCTAGCACTGGGATTGGCAGTGTGAGGGCTGTACCTGCTCGAGGGCAGGGAGCCCGCATACAATGTAAGGGCCAGAAGGAGGCATGCTTCCCCACTTGTGCCCTGTTCACTTTTTCCATTTGTGGCCACCATGAATGGTTGGCCCTCAGCCATTCTACCCTGCCTTGGAGCCAGCTGAGTATGGACTGAAGCCTCAAAAAGACCTGTAAGAAAGAAACTTTGTCTCCTTAAGTTTGGGCACCAGATATTTTATCTCAGCAAAGAGAGAAAAGTAACCAAGGCATCATTTAAAGAAAACTAATTAATAACAATACCTGTGACACCCTGGCTATAGTATAAATTCAGCATCAATTATAGCAAGCTGAATACTGACAAACCCTAAGGACCAATAAAGTACCACCTTTCTTCATAGAAAAGAGACTTATGATTATGGTATGAGCACTGAGACAAACCAATATTGACTTACTATTTTCCTATAGTAACTATCTATTAAATGGAACAACTTTATCTTTACTAACAATTATACACAATTCAACAGCAATAGTATCAAGTAACTATTTCTCTAGAGATTTACAAAGCTTAGTAGCTATACTAAGTAAAAATAGAGGGGTAAAAAAACAGAGAATGAAAAAAAAAGGAAAATTTGAAAAATTAATCCACTGGGATATGAGAAGGAGAGAAAAATAAAATAGGGGATGCTATTGTGGAGTAAAAGAAATTAATAGTGATAGGGAACAGTTATTGGAAAGCATAAACAACAAGAAGAAAAAAGACAAATAGCAAAACCAGGAGCTGAAAGATAAGAAGCAAGAGGAAAAGAAAAGTTGGAAAAGAAAAAGATGAAAGGCCAAAACAGGATCTAAAAGAAGAGAAAAATGTAGGAGAAAAACCTTAAGTCTTGAAAAAGCTTAGTGAAGAAACGTAAAAATAATACAAAATAGGAAAATTTTTTTAAAAAGGCAAGTCAAAGAAAAATAGCCCTGTATTATTGAGTACATGGTTTCTTTCCACAATCTGCAGTGTTTGGATCCAGGCAGACACACTTTTCTATGCCTGCCTTTCAGGCCTGTGAGTCTTTGAGGTGCCCCTCTTATGCTTCAGACCCCTCTGTTGGTTCCCCCCAACTATGGCTACTGATCCAGTGAATGTACGTCCTCGCTCACACTGGTAAATAGGGAACTTGATATGGGACACAAGGAAGGTGACCAAGTGGACGGTTGGACTTAATATTGACAGGTGGGGGGTTTGTTTCTTGCTCTCTGTGGGTGTTGTTCTCATCCAGGATTAGGGTGGTTGGCTGGTCTTTGCCTCTGCTCCCCCTGTCGAGGTCCCATGAAGGTGGGGTGCCACTCCTCCAGCACTACGCTGCTCTCTCAGTTGGGGGTTCACCATTCTGGATCCTTCTCTGACATGGGGTCCAAGATTTTTACTTTGAAGTATCACATAATGTTTTGTAATGGTCTCATACATGTCCATGTATCCACCAGAAAAACTGACTGTTGATCAAGAGTCCCTACATGAATAAAATGAGTAAAACAACGTTTCAGATTCCTCTTTTTTTTTTTTTTAACATGTGTCATTGCTTATCAGGTCCTGTCCCCACCTCTCAATAAGACTGCATTTAAATGGTCTCGGAAAGGTACATATCCATCTTTCCTTCCTACTGATATGAGAGGTCATGTTCCACTTAGTTACAAATTCCAGCAACTGAACATTTCATAAGGGAAATTTTTTCCTTATACATACATAATAATTCAGGTTGCTAATAAAAAATCTCAGACTATAATACTAACAAAATGTTAAATACTTATAAATAAATTTAACAAAATACACTCAGGTTCTATATTTTTTAAAAACTTGGAAATGATGTAAAAACACAGAAAATATATGGAAGGGGGCTTATTAAAATAGCAAGCTCATGGATTCAAATCAATACTATGTTAGTGACCAAAATAAACAAATGATAATTGTATTGCATTGGTTATTAGAAATGTTCGTGCACCAAAATGGTATTTAATGGGAAACAAATGGATTATTTTTTTTTAACGTGCAGATACAACTGGATGCCTAACTGAAAGAAAATAACAGTGGTAAGTTATCACCTTATCCTTAATTAAAAACTAAATGTGAATTAATTAAATATTTAAATAAAAAGGTAATTTTAGAATATGAACAGAAATATCTAAGAGACTGTATATACAAGTTATGATTTGGGGAGACTTTTCTTATAAAAAATCAAGAAACTGTAAAAGAGCATATTTGAGAAAACAAGACATTATGGTAGCTATTGCTGATTTGCGATCATCTTGTTTTGAAGTCCTACCATGCTTTTGTTCTTCTGTTTTGATTGGTTCTATGCTGTTGTGTTTTATTTGATTTTATTATGTGTGATGTTATAGACAAATTTTTTGAGGAAAATGAGGTATTACAGTAGCCATTGTTCATTTCCTGTTACTTGGTTTTGAAGTTCTGTAATGCTTTCGTTCTTTTGAAAGTTTTTTTTACTATATTGTTATGTTTGATATTATTGTGTGTGAAGTTATGCTCAACTATTTCAAAGAAAAGAGACATTATGTTAGCTACTGTTGATGTCCAGTTGTTTTGTTGTGAAGTGCTGTGTTGCTTGCATTTTCCTGTTCTGATTTGCTTTGTTTCATTCTGTTTTCTTTTGTTCTCTTTAAAATTAATAAAAAATGAAAAGGAGCATGTTTGATCTTATGGAGATAACATTGGAAGGGGGAACTACGGCAGTGCTATAAGGAGAGTTAATATCAATCAGCATGTCGGGAATAGCATCTGCGCTACTGTAATCACTTGGAGGAACACTTTCATATAGAGTCCTCTCAAAATTCATGAGACAGTGGCCAATAACTAAATAGAAAGTTGTGCACAAGGTTACAAGCAATTCATTAAGTAGTACCAAAAGGCCCAACAACCATATAAACATACATAAATTCACTAGAAATCATGGAAATAGAAATGAAAGGAACAACAAGAACACAAAATCACATGAACTTTTCGTATGCATAAACATAAAAAGCCCTGTCATAGTTTCCCCTGGGGAAACATACATGGGATAGTATACAAGTCATAACAGCAAGAATTGAAACATATCAACTAATCCATTATTTCATTGTAACACTAAAAGACAAGCCATCATTGAAGTGTTCTAGGGAGTAGATGTGGGCTGTCACTCTTTTGCCAGCTAATAATCTAACGGATTGGGACACTGTATCAACAGTTGCTAAGGTCACAAGTAGAGAGAGAACCAGACACACTCTTCCTGATGGGGGACACATCCCACCCAACAGCTTTTTTTTTGTCTTCAGATTCCACAGCCAGTTTACAGGCGATAACACGGACGAGGAAGGTATTCCACAACAATCTAGGGCTGCCACCTGCAACACTCAGACTGGGGGAGGCTGCACAACACCAAAACCTTGGTTCCTTCAACAGATAAGTTGTATGGAGAAAAAGATGGCGAGGAAAACTGTATACTAACAAAAACACAAGACTTGACTCAGCTGTGATTTGTGAACGAACCTCTGTCTATTTATTTGTACATGTTTGCAATGCATGATGGGTACCAATATTGGGAGGAATTGGTACGCATACATAGTGCATTTTAATCCTTTTGTTTCCTTGTTTTTCTCTTTTGAGGTCCTCATGCTGCTTCTCTCTTCTCTTCTGCTCCTTCCAACTCTTGGTCCCCTTCCCATTTGCAAAAGCTTCCCTTGGGAGCAGGTTCTGTAGGATTGTTGTGTTCGTAATATCTGGAGGTTCAGCTCAGAATCTGTTATGTACACTCTTATACTAGTTTTATAAGTCCTGAATTCCCTACACTAAATCCTTTAGCACTTAAACTAACTTTTCCATTATTTATAGCTGAACAAAATGGTAAAGTAAAATTGTGTATCGTATCTCCATATCATGAAATATGAATCACTGAAAAAAGTAAATTATTTTTTTCCAGACTTTTTCTCAGAGTCAACAGCAGTCACATCATTGATGCCCAAGGAGTACTGGATTGCCATTTAGGAACTCCGCTTGGAGGAGCAGTGGTAGTAGGCAAGAAGGATGGCCACATGCCCAGTCACCCAGACCTGAGAGACAAGAATGCACCTAGCCTTCCCATCAGGAAGGCAATGCGGACTCTCAAGTGTGGAGGCTACATGATGGAACACTTCACCTGGAGACGTGTCTATTGGTACCGTACCAGTGAGGGTCTCCAGTATCTCCATGATTATCTCCACATGCCTCTTGCGATTGTGCCAGCGCCCTGAGATGCCGCTATACTGAGACCAGCAAGCCTCAGCCAAATCATCTGGAAGTTGGAGAACATTATTTTCTGTTGAGTAAGCTTGTAGCCAGAAAGAAAGAGTATTAAATCACTGCCTAGTCACGAAGAGAAGATCCATGAGTTCTGAAAAAATCAAAATACAGAAAAGTAACTATAATAATTTCATTGTTTTTGGTAAAATAGTGAATAGCACATTGAAGTCTGTATAATTCATGGATCTACATGGAACTTTATGAGAACATATTGAAGGTCATACAACAGAAATACAGTGTCTGGCATGGGGGTAATTTGGGGAGATGTGGTAAAGAGGGAATATGTGGGTGACAAAAATAACAACCATGGTATTACCATACCTATGCAGAATCATCTGTCCATTTGTGTGTAAAGAATTATTGAAAGGATAATCAGCCTTTAAATATTATGATGGTAGAGTTTCAGATAAATCGATTTATACATTTATATAATGCACAGTTTTTTTGAAATAAGCATTTATTTTTATGTGATCAGGAGGAAAGGTATTTGCATTGTGAACAAAAAAGCATAAAACCACAAAAGCAATAAGGATTTTAGGAATATGTCCTTTAAATGTTTAACAAGGTCTCTATAAGTCAGTAAATAGAGCATTATTAATGGGTATAGGTCTCAATGCAAAAAAGATGGTGATTCTTTGAATTAACCTATAAATTCAAAGAGATTCTAATAATTATGTTTACAGAACTTAACAAATTGGCCCTTGAAGTCACACAGAACTGTAGAAGACCCAATATAAATAAGATTATTTTAAATAAGAAATCATCCTATCAAATATGAAAGTGTTATAAATCAGCAATAATCAAGGCAGTATAAACAAGTAATAAACACACAAGTGAGACAGACTGGAGACAACATAACAGAGTCATGCAGAGAGCAGGATAACTCGAGGAGGCAAATGTGACATTATACATTAGTGAGGAGGAGAAGTTGGCAAATGAACCTCACCTGGAGCGTCTATAAAAATGTGTGACAGGCAGGTGGATAATGAAGACCGCCTAGAAAAGATGCTGGCCGGGCCAGCAGTGGGCTGGGGTACAGCACCCTCCTTGAGGTTTTTCCTCTGATCTACACTGTTCTGGGCATGCCACTGCTTACCTCATCACCACTGTGGGGCACAGAAGATATGACAACCAGTGCCACTGGACATAAGAAGTCTGGTGACACAGATATGATTCACTGATGGAAGGACAGCTAACCACAGGTACAGACAGTGTCCTGACCCCCAGGTCTAAACCCAATATATAAAATCAAATTTTGTATCCAGCTATTCATCAAGCTGGATTCCTTCTTTTTCTTTGTTTCTGAGGTTGCTGAAGTTTTCCAAACTTCTGCCGGCTCCTGCTTCATATCCTTCTGCTGCCCCACAGTCTCATCCCTCAGCTCTTTCTTCTCTTCTCAGTGTGTTCGGGTCCTGTAAATACCGTAGATGTAGCCACCAGCTGGAAGGCAGTGACAGCAACTTTTCCGCTCACGGAGAAAAGGAGACCTGAGCACGTGTGAGTGACTGGTCCGCAGGTGGAGGCAGAGAGAGACATGAACCACGGAACTCAAGCAGTTCCCAAGTCAATGGCTAGAATAATCCTGACTCAGAGAACAACTGAATGCCAGTGAAGTCATGTGCAGAACCCACCACTGTGCCCAGGAAGAAGGAGAGCAAGAGCTCCCACCCCAAGATGCCAGGCCCAATCAGACTCAGCAAGAATGCCTGCAATCCGAGAGAAACAGGCCTGGAGTCGGAGTTAACCCCAGCTTTGCAGCAGAATGACCATTGGAGCAGTTGGGGTGTGATCACTTAAACTCTGACCAAAAATTGACTTGGGGATCACATATTCAATGGCTCATTAGAATTTCTAATCAAAATTCCCAGTGTACATGTTATTGGATTAACTTTTTGTATGTTTCTTGAGTTATTTATTTTCTTGTACTGTTTCACATGTATATGAGGTGGTAACTTTGTACAATTGCTCTTCCACTGGCTTTGATTTAACAGATACCCAGGTTCCTTCACCTAAAACATAGATGAAGATGGGGGAAAGTAACTCCAAGGACTAGAACAGAAATGGTATAAGATTGCAATTGTTGATACCATTTTAAAGTGAAGTATTCTTGTGGCAAAACAAAGGGAAAGACTTGAAATCACAGAAAGTACAACAAATGAAGAAGCAGTAAAAAAATACTAGACTAGGAAGCTGAAAATCTACTCACAGGGAGGCAACATCCTACTGAAAGTCTTCATAAACCACATCCTCTCCTCACTTTCCTAGTTTTCAACTGGTGGTGGCCCCCCTGCCAATAAAAGGGAAGAGAATAAAGAGGGGAGCTCGTGTAATTAACACAAAAGGGAAATAAACATAAACAAACACAGCTTTAAGTAGGGTAATAAGGAAATAGAAGATCTCCAAACATCGCCCACGATAAGGCTAGCGGACAACGGGAGAAGAAAACAAGTATCACGTACAGAAACCTATGAAGAGCTCTTAGAAGGGGTGAAGGAAATTAAGGGAAAAGAAACATACCGGAAGCTTGCGGCAGTGATACTCAACATGCCCATGGTGAACATCAGGGACATTAAAAAAAAAACTGAACAAGCTAACCAAGACAGCTCAAAACTTGAATGAGAGGTCAGGTTTGGTGGCACACACCTGAAATTCCAGCACTAGGAGGACAAGGCAGGAGACTTGCTGTGAGTTCAAGGCCAGCTTGGGCTATAAGGTGAGGTTAAGGCCAGCCTGAACTGATAATGAAACCCTGTCTCAAAAAGACAAAAAGGCTAGGGATTTAGCTCAGCGTCATAAGCACCTGCCCTGCAAGTGCACAGTCGTGAGTTTGATCCCTGGTACCAAAAAAAAAAAAAAAAAAAAAAAGACAAAAAAATCCCCAAACCTTACCCCTAAAAATCCCCATGAAACTCGGATTACAGATTCAACAGGATATGGAAGTCCTCTACAAGACACCAGAGAAAATAAAAACAGTGTTTAATTCATTCAAGAAAGGACCAAAGTGAAGTCAGAGTATCAGATATTGAGAACAAAATAATGGATTATAATAAAGAGCTCAAAGAAGCCACAGAGAAAATAAGGAAACAGAGAACATTGTCCAGCAGCTATTAGATGACAGAACAATAACAAATCTAATGTGAAGTGGAGTTAGAGAAAAGCCTGAAAACTATGTTACACAGATAGATTCACCAACATGTTTACAGAAATTGTTGAAGAAAAATTTTAAAATATAAGAAAAGATTTTGAAGTGCAAGTAATAGATACTTATAGAACACCAAAAAATTACAGTGAAAGATGTTCATGAGGTATATCCTCATTAAATTCACAGATATCCAGAAAAAAATTGAAACAGAATTATAAAGGCATCCATAGAAAAACAAATAAGCACATATAAAGGTAAGTGATTAGAATCACCGCAGATTTCCCAGTACAAACTGTGATGGCCAGAAGACCTTAGAGTATTTCAAGTCCTCTAAGCAAATACTTCTAATCAAGATTAATTTACCCAGCAAACCTCTCATTCAAAATAGATGGAGAAATACAGTATTTCCATGAAAAATGCTGGCTCGGAAGATATATGAGTGTGGAGTGGTGTGAGCTGAAGGCCTGCACACGAACTCTACCTAGCCATGCAACCTCAGCACCTCACTTGGGACCTAGTAGGGCCTTGCCCAGCATTCCCAAATAGCTGGGGACTTTAGGTAAGTCACTCAGGTCTTGGTTGGACCCCACCCACTGACTCCAGTTGGCAGGGGAACCCCCAGTGCTGAGTAGTGTGAGTGGAAGTCCTGCACAGGAAACTTCCCCAGCTGTTCAGCCTTGACATGCCGCAGAACCTTCTAGAGTCCTGCCCAGAAAACTCAAGCAGTTGGGGAGCTTCACAATGCTATGTGGGTTTTGCTGAAAGTCCACACAGCATACTCTCTGCGTTGGAGGAGCCTTTGAGTGCCACTAGGGACCTAGTCAGGCCTGTTTAAGGACGCCCACTCACCCGGGGAAACTCCTACAGTATGGACAAACATCCTCAGCCCAGGAAGCAATTGAGACTTTGCATTAGGCTTCCCCAGGGGAATACAGGAAAATAATAAAATGGAAGAGCAAAATGCAATCTCAAACCATCAGTCCATCCCAAATAAGACTATAAGACACAGATATAGAAGAAAGTGTAAGCCACATACCGGAAGCTTCTAAAATGATAGCAACTGAAACAAAGAAACAACTCCATGAAGCTGTAAAGGAACTCAAATAAAAAATAATCCCACAAGTAAAAGAAGATATATATATATAATAAAAGAAATGCTGAGCACATCTAAAGAAGATACAGTTTAAAAAACTGAGGAACCTAGATTGATGTACCCTGAAAAACTGTCCTTCAAAATTAATGAAGAAATAAGATATTTCCATGACAAAGAACAGCTGAAGAACTTCATGATCACCAAACCAACCCTGCATAAAATACTAAAAAATATTATATAGAGACATAAAAATAACTACAACCTCAAGAACACCAACAGAAAAAAACCACTAAACAAGGCAAACAGTTAAACAGAGGGGAAAGGTAAAGAATTGACAGCAGAAAGATAACATGACAAAAAATAAGTCAATATATATCAGTTATATCCATTAATATGAATGGCCTCAATTCACCAATTAAAAGAAACAGACTGGCAGAATAGATCAAGAAACAACATCCAAACATATGTATACAAGACACCCATCTAACACAAAAGGAAGTCAGAGACTGAAAGTGAAAGGACAGAAAGCAATACTTCATGCAACAGGAAACACCACCACCACCACCACCACCAATAAAAGCAGGGGTAGCTATTCTATTTGCAGACAATATGAACTTCAAACCAAGAATGAGCAAGAGAGAAGAAGGTCACTACATACTAGTTAGGGGAAAACTTCAAGAGGAAGAGATAACAAAGATGTATGCGCCAAATATGGGAGCACCTTGATTTATAAAACAAATATTAATATAAATAAAAAATCAAGTAAATAGTAACAATTATAACAGGAGACCTTAACACCCCCTTGACACAAAGACACAGAGCAACTAGACAGAAAATCAGCAAAGAAATAACAGAGCTAAATCAAGCTTGTGAATAAATGGACTTAGTAGACATGCACAGTGTTCCATCCAACATTAGAATATACATTCTTCTCAGTTTCACATGGGACATTCTCTAAAATAGACCATATACTACACAGAACACACTTAAGTAAATGCAAAAGAATTGAAATTATCTCATGCATGCTATCTGATTATAGTGCCATGAGACTAGAAATGACCAAAGAAAATCTGCAAAAACTCTTTAAACACATGGAAATTAAACAATACACTCCTGAGCAATCAGTGGGTCACAGAGGAAATTAAAGAAGAAATTAAACAATATCTACAAGCAAATGAAAATACAAACATAACTTACTGGAACCTGTGGGATGCAATGAAAGTAGTCCTCAGAGGGAAACTCATGTGTTAAATCCTATATCAGCAAAACAGAATGAACACAAACAACCTGATGCTACACCTCAAACATCTAGAAAAAGAAGAGCAAGTCAAGCCCAAAGCCCAAAGAAGGGAAGCAATTATAAAGATCAGAGTAGAAATCAATGCAATAGAGACTGAGAAAAGGATACAAAGAATCAATGAATTAAAAAGTTGGTCCTTTGAAAGAATAAATAAAATTGATAAGCCCCTAGAAAACTTTACTTTTAAAAAAGGAAAGAAAAAACTCAAATTTATGCAATAAGGAATGAAAAGGGCAAAATCACTACACACCCTATAGAAATAGAGAAAACCATCAATACCTACTTCAAAAACTTTTACTCTCATAGGTTTGATAACACAGAAGAAATGGACAAATTCCTAAAAACATATGAATTACCAAAACTGGATCAAGAAAACAAAAAATTGCTAAATAACCCAATTTCAATTAATGCAGTTGAAGATGTCAACAAAGAAAAGCCAGGTGTTGATGGGTTCACTACTGAAGTATACAAGAAATTTAGGGGAGACTTAATGCTAACGCTCCTCAAACTTTTCAATGAAATTGAAAAGGAAGCAAGTCTTCCTAACTCATCCATGGAAGCAAGTATTACCCTAATACCAAAACCAGAGAAAGAACCAACCAAAAAAAGAGAACTACAGGCCAATCTCCCTAATGAACATAGATACTGAAATACTCAGTTAAATACTGGCAAACAGAATGCAGCAAGTCATCAAGAAGATTATACACCATGACCAAGTGGGATTCATCCTAGGAATGCGGGGATGGTCCAACATATGGTAATCAATAAATGTAATACCATATCAATAGAGCCAAAGATAAGAATCACAGGATCATTTCAATAGATGCAGAAAAAGCTTTTGATAAAGTCCAATACTCATTCATGATAAGAATCCTATGGAAAATGGGAATAGATGGTCTTTACCTCAACCTGATAAAAGCCATCTATGACAAACCAATAGCCAGCATCATATTAAGTGGTCAAAAGTTGAAAGCTTTCACTCTAAAATCAGGAATAAGACAAGGATGTCCATTCAACAAACTTATTCAATATAGTTCTGGAAACAATAGCTAGAGCAATTACATAGGAGAGAAAAATAAAAGGAATAAGGATAGGAAAGGAAGAAGTTAAATTATCACTATTTTCAGATGACATGATATTGTACATAAAAAAATCCCCAAAATTCTATTGAAAGACTTCTAGATGTAATAAACAAATTGTAATTGGATACAAACTCAATACTCAAATAGCATTCCTGTACACAAACAACAAACTCACAGAGAAAAATAAAAGAACCCACACCCTTCACAATAGCATCCAAAAAATGAAATACTTAGGAATTAATCTAACAAATCTAACAAAAGACATAGTTGGTGAAAATTATAATACTCTGAAAAAAGAAATTGAAGATCTCAGAAAAGGGAAAGATATTCCTTGTTCTTAGATAGGAAGAACAAACATTGTAAAAATGGTCATTCTCCCAAAATTGTTATAAAAATTTAAGTTAATTCCAATCAAAACATCATTAACATACCATACAGATCTATAGAAATCATTCTTAAAATTCATCTGAAACCAGAAAAGGCCTAGGATAGCAAAGCCAATTCTGGGCAACAAAGGTAAGGCTAAAGGCATCACAATCCCTGACTTGAAGTTATACTACAAAGCTACTGTAATAAAATCAGCATAGTGCTTGAGTGAAAACAGACCTGAAGATCGATGGAATAGATTAACAGATACAACCACAACTACAAACACACTCAGCCACTTCATATTTGACAAAGGGGCCAAACATGTTCACTGGAAGAACGATAGCCTCTTTAAAAAGTGGTGCTGGAAAAACTGGCTTTTCATATGCTGAAAACTGAAACTAGACACGTATCTATCACCATGCACTAAACTAAAGTCAAAATGGCTCAAAGATCTAAATATTAAAACAGAAACACTAAATCTGCTGGAAGACAAAGTATGCAGACATCTTGAAGACATATGGGTAGGCAAAGAATTCATGAACAAAAGTCAAATTGCATAGGAAGTACTTCCCAGAATCAACAACCGGGGTCTCATCTTATTAAAAAGTTTTTGCATATTAAAAGAAAGCTCCAACAGAGTGCAAAGAAAACCCATGAATTGGGGGAAAAACAACTTAGTCAACTGTCCCTCAGACAAAGGACTTCTATCTAGAATTTATAAAGCATTAAATAAAATCAGAGCCCTGAAATTCAAAGACCCAATCCAAAAATGGGCATCTGAGATGAATATTCACTTCTCTGATGAAGAAATACAAATGGCAAATAAATACATGAAAAAATGTTCAGCATCTCTGGTCATTAGAGAAATGCAAATTAAAATCACACTGAGATTCCATCTCACTCCAGAAAGAATGGCCAGGATCAAGAAAACCACCAATAGTAAATCCTGGAGAGGCTGTGGGGAAAAGAAACACTTCTGCACTGTTGGTGGAAGTGTAGACTGGTGCAACCATTGTGGAGGTCAGCCTGAAGGTTCCTCAAAAAGCTGGGATTGGAAGTCCCATTTGTTCTCTGCTATTCCACATCTAAGCATATTCCCACAACTGAAAACATCATACCACAGAGATATATGTGCACCCGTGTTTATAGCAGCACAATTTGTAATAGCCAAATCTTGGAAACAACCTAAGTACTCATCAACTAAAGAATAGATTTTTTTAAAGGTGTGATATTTTTATATATTTGTTGTTTTTGTTTTGCACCAGGGATCAAACTCATGACTTAGCGCTTGCCAGAGAGGCGCTTATGCCACAGAGCCAAATTCCTGGCACCACTGTGATATTTTTATATAATGGAGTGCTACTCAGCTATAAAGAAGGATCACATTGAGGCTTTTATGGTAAATGGATGCAACTTGAGGCCATATCATAAGTGAAATAAGTCAAATTCACACATGTACATGCCATATTGTCTCCCTAGTGTAAGAAGTTAAAAGAGTAAATGAGATACAAAATCTTCACTCAGTACTGTGAAAGTACTAAGAAACTGTTCAAAGGGGAAAAAACAACTCAGGGAAAAGAAGAGAAGGAAGGGAAAAGAAAAAAAGGTATCAATTTGTATATATACACTTAAGATAGCTAAGATAATTGTGCTACTAATTCTGTTAGTTCTTGGAACAAAACAGTTAACATTCATAGGATTAGATCAATTTTGCATGTTTATATCTGGTAATATGACTGACTCTTTTGAAAATAATTAGACATAATAAAAACCTTAGTTTGTTCCTACCACCTTGTTTTGAAAGCCTATATTGTTAGTGTTTTGGGCTCTTCATTATGGTATCGTTTCTTTTATTTCTCGTTTTTCTTATATTTTGCTTTTCCTTCTAATGTGGAAAGGATAGATATACATATATAGACTCACACATGTCTAGAACTTCTAAAGAGTTTACAAGAATTGATTTTATTATGTGTGATGGTATAAACAGCTACTTTGAAGAAAATGAGACATATGGCAGCCATCACTGATTTTCCTTTGATTTTGAAGGCCTGTAATGCTTTCATTCTTTTGTTTTGATTGATTTTTTACTATTTTGTTTTGTTTGAATTCATTGTGTATGAGGATATGGACAACTATTTTGAAGAAAACAAGAGACATTATGGTAGCCACTGTTGATTTCCTGTTGTCTTGTTTTGATTCTGTGTTGCTTGCATTGCCATGTTCTGATCTGCTTTGTTCTGTTTTATTTTGTGCTCTTTAAAATAAAAAGATATATGAATGATAAACAAGCTCTAGAAAAAGAATGCTCAAAAAAAAAGAATGCTCAAGAATATTCTCAACAGAAACAAAGGATTATATATGCCTAAAAATACAAAAGAAACTAGATAGGTCAGTGGATAAACAACAACAACAAAGAAAGAAAAACTAAAACAAATGATAAACCAACCAATAGGGAAGACAATGAGAGTAAGTAACCAACACATCTCAGTAATATCTACTAATGTTAGTGTCCTCAACTGTCCAATCAAAAGAGACAGACTGGCAGACTGGATCAAAAAGCAGAATTCAACAATTGGTTGCATCCAAGAAACCCATCAAATACAAAAAGATACTCATAAATGTAAATTAAAGGATGGAAAACAACATTTTATGCACTAGGACTCACAAAACAAGCATCCGTAGCATTTATTATATCAGACACAGTCAACTTCAACTTAAAGTGGATTAAAAGAGAGAAGGTACTAGTTAAAGAAACAATCCAACAAGAAGAGATAACATTGATAATCAAATACTGGAGCCCCTCTGTTCATTAAAAAAACTGTTAAAAGATCAAATAAATGTTAACACAGTCATAGTAGGAGACTTTAACATCCCACTTTTGCAAAAAGACAGATCAACTAAAGTCAACCACGAAAGAAACTTCAGAGCCACCACACCCCTGAACATGTAGATTTCATAGATATATTAAGTATTCCATCCCTCTACAACAGAGTATACATTCTTTTCAGCAGTACATGATTCTTTTTCCAAAATAGATCACACATTAGTCCACAAAGGCTGCTTAAGTAAATATGAAAGAATTGAAGTTATTCCATGCATATTGTTTGACTGTGCAGTGAAAATAGAAATTGACATTAAAAAATATTCTAAAAGGCAAAAGCTCTTGTAAAATTAACAGCATATTCCTGAACAACCAATAGGTCACAGAAAACATCAAAAAATTTTGAAAGTTAGTGGCAATGACTATACAACTCAACAAAACCTTTGGGACACTTTGAAAGCTGTTCTAAGAGGAAAATTCATTGCAATCAATGCTCACATTAGCAAAACAGAGCAGACTCAAATAAATAACTTTATGAGAAATCCTAAGATACTTGAGAAACAACTACAAAGCAGCCCCAAACTGAAACTAAAGAGAGAAATTTCAAAGATGAGAGAAATGAATGAAATTTGATCTAAAAAAATGTTTTAAAAAAAACAATGAAGCAAAGAGCGCATGCTTCAAAAACATAAATGAAATGGACAAGCCCTTAGCAAGGCGCACTAAGAGAAAGAAAAGACTCACATAAATGCACTAGAAACAATAAAAGTGAAATCATAATAGTGTTGAAATCCATAAGAGAGTTAGGAACTACTTGGAAAAGTTATACTCCAACATCAGTAAATACTGAATCAAGAAAGTCCTGGGATCCAAGAAATGTCAGAACTCACTTTGAATTTGAATGCCAATGTCAGCGGCAGAAAAACTCATGTAATCTTGTCCATATATTTTAAGAGCACACTTCAATAATAAAGTTTTGGTGGAATTGACCAATGGACAGGTAGGAATATTATTTTTATGGTACATGCTAAACAGAGATTATAATAAATGTATTTCCCAAAGCACACACAGATATACACAAAGACCAATGACATAAAATTAGTAATCATTATAAGCATGTAGTATTTATTGATCACATGACATTTTCATATTATTTAACCCTCACAAGCAATGCAAGAAAGAATTCTGTGCTAGTAGAGAAAAAAAATGGCATGGAGCTGGATTATCATGACAGATTTGGGGCTCCATGGATAGAAGACTCATGACAATCAACCGATATCAAGGAGACAACATAAGTAAGTAAACAGGCTGAGGATTACACTGCCTGGTGTAGGGTGTAGGATGTGTAGCATGGAGCCTACCAGTTTCTATCTTCCACTTGCACTGTTTCCACTCTTTATAGCCTCTTAAACCCATGGAACCCCCTGAGGAACTAATGCAGGCCCACCTGGACAGCACCTATGTTGCGCTCAGCTCCCCTGCCACAAAGCCTCTCAGAATCAGTGAAGAGGATTGTGAATATTACCTGGAAACTGACTTCAGACCCACATGATCTGTAGATTATCGTGGCCAAGATAGCCAGCTCAGTTTTTGTCCATTTAAAAACAAGTTGTAACAAGGGTATAGAAAACAGTATTGTAACTGTACTCCTCTGGATTTGAATTGAATCACTGACAAGCTAGTGAGTAACAGAAAAAGATAGGCAAGGTGAAAGTAGCTCTTTAAATGACTGTCATTAAGTCATAGATTGTACAGTGCCAGGTTTCCAAATATTTTGCCCATGTTTACTTCTCCTGCAAACTGGTGAGCAAGGTTGGAGGATGAATGCTCTCCTTTGGTGACAGGGATTTAAATAGTTTTTGTCTTGTCTCATCTTAAATATTTAAAAATCTAGGACTTCTCCACAGCAAATGACATAGTGTAAAAATGTTGGCTAAGCATGAATTTTGCTTCACTTTTTTTTCCAAACAAAAGCAGTTTAATACTTTAAAATAATAAAAGCACTTTTAGCAATGTAAGGTTGAATACATTTATATAGTTTATCTGTAAATATTTTTATTCCCACAAGTTCTTTATACTTCTGATTCTAAAAGTAATGAAAACTCTCTTACAAGGACCTTAAAATCGTGTTCCTAGTGGATACATAAGCCTGTGTGAGCATGAAAAGCTTTTTTTTTTAATTTTATTTAAGGAGAAAAAGAAAAAAAAACAGAAGGGTACAAGTAATACAGAATTTCAAAAAAAATAAACAGTAGGAAATCACTAGTTAATAGATTATGTATTGTCATCTTAGAAATAGTTGTTCAAGTTACAAAATTAAAGCATATAAAGTAGACATTCAAACAGTGAGACTGCAAATAGTTCTGTTCAGTGATCCAACAAAAACTCAGTAATATGGTTATCTATCTTATACACTTAAATATACAGGCAGTTATATCCTTTAGAGCACTTTCTTTTCCTCTCTTTTGTACAATGACAATTACACATTTTGAGCGTCAGCTTTTAAGAGCAATAAAGAATAAAAGTTACAAGGGGGCAAATGTTCACAACTTAGGCATAATAAAGTAGTAAGCTAGCTGTTGCAGGAAGGTAACACGGAAGTGAAGCCTAGATGATGGTCTGCCATGGGTTTAGTTAAGTTTGACACTAGAGCTTTTAAATCCCTACTATCTGAGAGTCAGAGTGCCACAGGGTGAGGGTGTACAAACAAAACCTGGACCTTCCTCTCAAGAAGTGTGCAGGTTAGGAAAGCCTGATGTAAACTGATGCATGCATCAACAGAGTTACACACAAGACAAGAAATAATACTGTTTGTATTATTTAAAGAACAAGAATTTGTCAGGAGAAACCTGGGCAAAAAGAGTGATACAGGCAAAAGCAATGTCCATGACGTGCTGGGAGTCTTACTAGTAGCGGTCACTGTAGAAGAGATTCTTGGTGAGAACATGAGATAGACGGCCTTTAAAGTCCTTTCAGCACTCAAGATGTAAGTACTTCAGAAGTCCCTGAAGATCTCTGGTCGTTTTCTGGGAGGTCCTATTCAAGCCACGGGCTTTAAATACAACTGTACAGCAGTCCTCTACCAGAAGTACATTAAAACAGCTAGAAAAGACATGAGCTTTCTGTGCTTAAGCAATTCTGAATAGAAATATAGGAATGAATGTATCAGAAAATGATTAAGTGGCTGTTAACTCACAAACAGAATCTAGTAGGCTTAAATTTTGGATCCCTAAAGCTTTTTTTTTTTAACTTTCTAAAAATTTAATCAGTAAATGTTCACAGTACATACAGTTTACAGTCATGTTGGGGAATGGGTACATGCACATGATACAGCTGTTCCTCGTTGAATCCTCCCTGCCTCTCTCTAATTATTTAATTTGAGATAACTAATTTAATTATGCCTACCCTGACTTTCACTCTCGTCATTATTAAACATGGCGTGGCGTGTGTTTGCATTCGTTGGGGTCATTCGGCTCCTCATCTTTACTCTACTTGCTTTGCTTTCCGCCCTCCTCACGCTCCCCTTGTTCCCCTGGACCATTTCACTGCTGTGAGAGACTCCTCCCTTTGTTTCCATCTACCCACACTTTACTATTGTTTGTGTTCGCCTCTCTCGAATGAGAGACACCATATGGGATATAAGCTTTGTGTCTGCTGTACTTTACTCAACATTATATTTTCCAGGTGCATCCATTTTCCTACAAAAGTCTTAAATTTGTCATTCTTTATAGCCAAGTAGTAGTCCATTATAAATAAATACACTTTTAAATCCAGTTATCTGTTTTTTTTATTTAAAGAGAAAAATAAAAAAAAATACATGGAGATAAAAAAGGGGTAGAAATAATACAGAATTACAGAAAAATAAACGGTAAGAAATCACCAGTTGATAAGTTACATGTTATCTTAGAAATAGTTGTTTAGGTTACAAAATTAAAGTATGTAAAGTGACATTCAAATAGTGACACTGCCAACAGTTCTGTTCAATGATCTAACAAAAACTTAGTAATATGGTTATCAGTCCTACACACTTGTTTTTTATCTTAAAGAGGGTAAGATTAAACATATCAAAACAGAACAAAGGAGCTGGGGATTTAGCTCAGTGGCATAAGTGCCTGCCTTGTAAGCAGGCAGTCGTGAGTTCGATCCCGTAACCGATAAAAAGGAAAAAGACAAAAAAAAAAAAAAAAAAATCAGAACAAAATAGTTCAAAAAGAAATAATTTAAAGAAACACGGATTTCAAAGCAAGTCCACTGGAGATCTTCACTGTCTATCTTATTGTCTCTAGTTTTCTTCCAAATAGTTGTCCCCATCTTCACACACATTAAATACATACTGCATATTATAGAACTAATCAAATCATTACAGGATGATGAAGGCTTTTTAGGTCTTCAAGACCTGACATTGCGGGAGTCAATAATGACTACCATAGTGTTTCTCATTCTTTTAGTAGTAGCTGTCCTTATCTTTACATATGCTGAAATTGAACTTAAGAGACTAGACTAATATCACTCTGATCAGTGAATAATAGTATTGCTAGATTTTGTATCATAATGCTACAGAATTAGCATTGGGTTTCTTATGGGTCTCTTCTTCTTTAGAGTATCTGACACAGATGGAAGAACGGAGGAAATCCAGTTATCTGTTGATGGGTATACAGGCTGCTTTCAGGATTTGGCTATTACAAATTATGCTGCTATAAACTTTGGTATGCATGTTTCACTGTAATATGATGACCTTAGCTCTTTGGGGAAGATCCCTAGAAGGGAGATAGCTGGGTCATATGGAATTGCTAGTTTTGAGAAATCTCCATAATGCCTCCCACAATGGTCACACTAGTATACATTCCCACCAGTGATGGTGGAGGGTTCCTTTTTCACCGCAGCTATCCTACATTTGTTATGGATTTCCTAATGATTGCCATTATTTATGGAGTAAGATTGAATCTTAATGTTGCAACGATTTGCATTTCTCTATTGGCCAGAGGTGTTGAATATTTTTGCATATATCTATTGGTCATTTGTATTTCTTCCTTGGTTAAGTTTCTGTTCATTTCCCTACCTCATTTCATGAATACATCTTTACTTTTAGGTGGTTTAGTTTTATTGAGTTCTTTTATATTTTAGATATTAGTCCTCTGAGGAGCAGTTGGCAAAATATTTTTCCCATTCTGTAGGTTGTCATTTCACTCGACTAATTCTTTTGATGTACAGCAGCTTTTTAGTCTGATATTATCTCGCTTTGTTTACTCTTATTTCTTGCGCCATTCTGATTGTTTAGAAAATCCTTTCCTACACCGTCTCCAAGTGTATTACCTATTTTACCTTCCAGCAAGTTTAGTTGTTTGTATGTTTAGATCTTTGATCCATTTTAATTTTGGTGAAAGGGTCCAGTTTCAACCTTGGGCAAACAGATAATGGGTTTTCCCAGCATCACGTACTGAATGTTATCTTTCCTTCAATGTACTCTTTGTCAAAGATCACAGAGTTGAATGTGTCTGGGAATGTTTTTCTGTACTGTATCCTGTTCCATTTTTCTATGTATCTGTTTCTGGTCCAGCACCATGTTTTTATCACTATTGCTTTGTAGAACTTTTTAGCTTGAAGACAGATATTGCTTTGCCTGCTTTACTCTTGTTGCCCAGAATTGCTTTGGCTATTCTGGGTCTCTTCCGGTTCCATATGAATGTCTGGATTGTCTCTAGTTCTGTAAAATATGCTGTTGATATTTTGATTGGGACTGCACTGAATCTGTATAACATTTCTAGGAGGATGGCCCTTTTTAGTAGAAGACATCTTTCTAATTTCTGATGTCCTCTAATGTCCATTTTCAGAGTACTGTAAGTTTTCATTGTAGAAGTCTTTCATTTTCTTGGTTTTTCTTAAAGGTGCAAAAGGTAGTTTTCCTAACTTCTGCTCATATTCACTGTTGGTATTCACGAATGCTAATCACTTTTGTATTGACCTTGTATCCTGCTACATTGGTAAAACTGGTTTTTAATTCTATGAATTTTGGTGGAATTCTTTAGGTCTTCTAGGTAAAGTATCATGTCATCTGGGAATAATGGTTATTTGGCTAATTCTGTGTATATAATCCATTTATTTCTTTTTTTGCCATATTGCCTGGTTAATGTTTCAAGAACTATTTTGAACTATGTTAAGCAGAGGTGTAGTGGACATCCTTGTCTTCTTCCTGATTTTAGGGGCAATGCTTTTAGTTTTTTCCCATTTTGTGTGATGCTCACTTTTGTTTTAATAGCTTCTATCATATTCAAGTATGACCCTACTTGTTTTCTTCAGGGTTTTGTTTCTTTTTTATCATGATGTTGGATTTTGTTGAAAGCCTTTTCGCATCTTTTTATATAGACATTGTTTGGCCTTGCTTATTTATGTGATGTGTTACATTTATTGCCTATAATTTTGAAAAGGGCCCTCTTAACTCTAATTATAGCTAAGCAAGTCCTATCACTCTATCCCCTTTGCCCTGCTTTTTCTTCACAACACTTATTACCCTGCATTCTTTTGTGTACCACAGATATGGAAGATCTTTGAAGACAAAGAATGCCCATCTTACTCTATTTTCAGAGCCTTTAACAGCAATTAGCACAAATTAGTAATTTTCACTTCATTCATGGGATGAATGAATCTAGTTGAAGTGAGTTAGATTTGTACGTGGTCAGCAGTGATTTAGCTGTATGCTCTCCACTTAAGTCTTTGCTGCTTTATTCTGTTTTATTCTCCATTTAATTGAAGCAGGACTATCAATTGTAAGGCACTAGGCATAAAGCGCTATCATTGGTGGAAAGAAAAAAGAAAGAAAAAGGAACTCCAAAGGTCACTGAAATAAAGGGAAAATATGCATCAAGTACTTCTTTGGTTCTTCAGGGCAGCACTGCTTTCCTCCACAGCAAGCCACAGAAACCACAATCTTTACCATCTTCATTCCCCAAATCGTATCACAGAAACTAAAACATCTGATACAGTCTTCCCCTACTCTTCTGTTTTGGAGCTGGCCATTACAAAATTCTCTTTGCTACCTCGTCTGATAGATCGTAAGACTTCATCTCAGTCCTAGCTCATGCCCAGGAGGAAGGAATGCTGTACAGACAGGCCAAGAAGAATCTCGACAGACAGGCTTTGCTGTTTTCCCCGTTTATTGACCTTAGATCATACTCTTTTGGTCCAGTCACATTTCTGCACAGTTGTGCATGCTTATACAAAGAAGTCTCAATAATCCCCATCCTCAACAGAGTCTGGAGAACTTATGGACAGTTGAACACATGGAGTCTTACAACTAATTTATCTGCTTAGGACAAACCCCAACTGCATAGACAAAGACATTTCTACACTCTGAGCCCCTCCAGGCACTGCCCAGAGTAAACTTTCATTAGGATGTTTATCTGCACTCTCTAAAACACCATTTATAAGAAACCAGGTAATGTGTTTCAGTGAGTTCTGTGAACTGCTCTGATGGTGTCTAGTTGAGGGGAGATGTCACAGGAACCCCAATCTGTAGCTGGTTGGCGTGAAGGTCTGGAGCCTCGGACCTGTGACTGGCCTCTGAAGTATGGGGCAGACTTGCTGGACTGGCTCCTCAATCTGTGGGTTCTGACTCTCTGTCCAGGTAGTGCCAAGAATTGAAGGGGCTGGGGATTTAGCTCAGCAGCATAAGCGCCTGCCTTGCAAGCAGGCAGTCGTGAGTTTGATCCCCGGTACCAATAAAAAGACCAAAAAAAAAAAAGAATTGAAATGCAAAATAAGACCCCCACCCACTGTACACTGCAAAACTTACTGCTTGCTTGATGGTGGTAAGAAATCTCATTTTGGGATCACAGAAGTGATCTGTGTTGTGTGCATATAAGAGGAAAAACATTATTTCATCCTCAGAGTTACCACATAATAATATGAAAAGCTTACTTCTACATATGAGTAACAGCTGATGTTTGGAAACAGAAAGGTGACCCAATTTTCTTCCTTGCATTATTTTGTCTCCCAAGTTATATTTTTAAGAGTTATGGCTTATTATCACCAAATAAGCCAATACATTAATTCATGAATACTGGAAGTAAAAATATTTAAAATGCTAACAAGCAATTCTGTGAACATAGTCTGGAATTCATGTAGTACTTTTAACCCTTAAAAAAAAAAAAAAAACCAAATCTCCATCTGTAAAACTTGATCATATCAGAGAGTACAAGTCCTCAGACTTGCAGCACTCACAAGTAAAACCACCAGGAAGAACCCCTGGACAACACTTTTTAATGTGAAAACCTGCCCACGTATTAAACACCCTTGCAGCAGACAGGCGATTGGTATTACATGTTCATCATAGCACAAGACCCAGTTTTCCAGGAGTTAAGATGCACCGGAGGGAAGTGAAACTGAGAAGTTAGGAAAGTTGGTATGGAAAAGCAGAGAGAACAGCATGCTTCATAGAACTTTTATAACAGAAATGTCTCAACTAAATGAAACCAGTATCGGTCTAGAAAGGCGGAATGACAGTCAGTAGCAAGATTTTCAAACTTCATCATGTTCAAAGATATTAAGGATAAAACCTTATGCGTTTTTTATTTGTTAAAACCTCCCAAATTTCTAAAAATAAAACTTAGCTGTTAGTATTTTTATATTAGCCTGGCTTTGTTTTTTGAAGGCCTTAAAGCATGTATTCAAGATAAAAACAGAATGCCAAGGATTTAAGAAAACATATGTTAGATGTAGCAGCACCCTCCCATGTGCCAGCTTTGAGAAAACCAGGGAATAGCGCCCTTCCCAGGAGTCAGCCAGTGTGCAGGCAGGGAGACAAGATTCCACCCCTACTCCATAAGCAACCGCTGCTTCTGAGGAATAGAGGCTGAGGTGACAGCAACCGAAATAAGAAAGAACTTAACACTTGTATTGTTTGATTGCCTTTGCAGACCTAAAGCCAGTAGTCTGATCATCCACTTAGAGGAAAACAACGTGCAATATAGTAACTAGTGTGGATTTCCTACTGTCCTAAGTCCAACGTGACTCTCCTTGTTTCATTTTGTTTAATTTTAAAATAAAATTCTAAAAAACAAAACAAATGGGAGCAATACAGGTGCCCATTTAAAAAAAAAAAAAAGAAAACATATGCTAACTGAGGATTGTTATCAGTGATTTTGTTTTTCTTATAAAGTAGTACTAACTGGTACCTTTTTTCTAAAAGAAATGTTTCTACATTTTACTAACAGCACTGGCCCAGAGCATACAGCAACCCAGACAAACATACAATGTCAATTAAAAATAAAGTTATCTCAAAACTAAAAAGATATTCTAGGTTGAAGTAGCCATTTTTTCTAGAGATCCTTTTTCACTCTTCTTTAAAATAACCACAAAATCCTTTCAATCCACACCCTAACTCAAGGGTTAAATTTAATGAAAGAATTATATTCGTTAAATATAATTCAAATATAAAAGAATTATATTTGTTACTAAATTGAAAGACTGTAATTCTTTGCTAGTTATCTAAAGTCTGATACTCTAACAATTATTAATTTTTAAGGGTGACTTGTTTTTACAGAGTACCAAATTTTTTCTAATGGTAAATTTATTAATTCATATAATTTATTTTTCATACATAATTAATACTATACAAATTATTTCTCAAAGAAACTTAAAACACCAGCATATCTTCAATGTAGACAAGTTCTAATCTAAGTAAGGAAGCACTTAAGCAGTTTCCACTGATTTCATTTCTCCAGATGGCCAGTTCTCAAGGACTTCTGGAGTCTAGTTATGTTGGCATCCAGTGCTGCCAGCCCATTTCTGAAGTCTTGTTCATCACGAGAAGTGAACGTTGAGAAAGAAGAGATGCTCCAGTCGGACATCAGGTCAGAATTTAAAAAACTGCCATCGCAGCCAGCACTGCCTTTCACTTGGATACCGGTGGTGTGAAAAGCTGATGGGCCACAATGCGCCTGTTTCTCTGGTTCTTTGGTGGCAGCGGGGACCTTACTAAGGGCTTCCTTTATTTTCTGCAGAAGTTGTTGGTCATATGCATCAGCTGGTTTGCAAAGTTTTTCAGGTATATCTTCTGCTCTATTATTCAAACAAGGTACAGGAACACACAGCTTACTTTCTGCTTCCGGGGTCAGCACACTGTTGCTGACCAGTTGCTGGGTTGTGGCAACACTTATCTGTGGCTGGGGGGATATTCTCTTAGAAAGTGGAGAATTCTTTTTAGAACTGCTTCTAACAAAAGGAATATAAATTGTACTATCCAAATCACATTCATCTTCTATTAAAGTCATGCTTTCACACTCCATATCAGAATCCTGTTTTGAAAGATCAGGAAGAATCCCAGGAGTGGTCGCCGTCTCCACGACCCTGTTTTTGCCAACGGGAGAGCCTCTGGAAGGCAGGACATTTTCACAGGATCTGATCGGCTCTGTGGTTTCTTCCCTGTTAACTGCAGAAAGTGGCTCTGAGTACATAAAAGTGTGATTTATTTCCAAATTATGCAGGTAGCTCATTACAGAAGTGTGAGGAGGGGCTGGGTCCTGTTGAAGTTGTTTATCGTACATGTGCAGAAGCGATCTGGTCAGGTTATTCCCATGCTTGCCGCGAGTAGTATCCACACTAAGATCTGAGAGCAGCTTTGCCATACTGTTCTGTAAAGTTCTGTCAAGAATTTGGAACAATAATTATTAGAGGTTTTTGCCTACTTCTTTATTCATTATATATACCTCCATCTTTTTTTAAAAAAGAATTTCAAGCATGTATCTTTGTTCTTAATATGAAAACAAGCTGCTAAAAGCAAAAGTCATAAAATATGCTTGGACAAGAATAAAGTACAAATGAGAAAAGACCTTGATTTGTATCAAACCATAATTGTTTTCTCTTAAGGTATGGAAACTTTTTACTTCTGAGCAACACTACAAAATGAACCTTTGAGTAAAAAGCCATCATAAACATAGTAGGCTACATTATAGAGCAAAATGGAAAATATACTAGTTTTTTGTTAAAATTATTTTCCTCCATTCGAAATGGAACAATACTGGAAAAAATGGGTGGTTAGATATAATTATCATAATTAGGTATAAGCAACAGCCAGGAAGCAGAAAAGTAACACATTAAGAAAAACACACTAGAAGTTAGAAGAAATGGTATCAAATCCTACTGCAATCTTCAAAAAGTCACCTAATTTTTCTTAATCTCAATTTTGTCAATTGTAAAGTAAAAATACCTACTTCAGAACTTAATATAGATTGAACAATTTTAATAAACTGTTTTTTATTTTATTACATCATAAGATATAAGGGTCAAGTGTTCAGCACATTTTCAGCCTATATAGGTGTCCATTCGATGGCAGCCTGTATTGGTGGTTTTATTAAAGCTATTTCATAGCCTTTAGTCTATTTGAATTGAATCATGAATGTTCCTACAAATCAATAAAAGATAAACATACCAATCTGGAAAAAAGATATTAAAGCACATCAACAGGTAACTAACAAAATGAAAAATAAGCGTGTCTTAGAGTTCAACTTTTAAACATTCTGTGTTTTGTACCAGTGTTGGAAACATTTTCTTTCTTCACACTTATCAAACATAGTAACATACGAATAACTACTGTTAGGGCACAGGTGTTCTGCTCCAGATTTCACAGGCCAGTAGGAAAGTACAGTCTCCATATATCTGACCCACACTGACAGAGGTGACCCTGCCAACATCAGAAGTCTGCCTGAGACTTTCTTAGACCAAAGGCAACATGCCCACCCTGCCTGAAGAGAATACCTAACCTGGCTCTACCCCAGTGGCTGAGTGATAATCCCACCCCCGCATGATGATCCGGGTAAGGCCTCCCCAAGCCTGAAGCAAGCGTAAGCACATTTATCTGTGGAGAACAGCATCTGGCCCTCCCAGATCTGAGTGGTGGAAGGGTGCCATACTGAACCTCCCACGTTTCCACATGTACAGCAGGGACTCTGGGAGTGTTCCTGCCCAGCAGAAGTGCTCTGACTACAGTTCTGCCTAGCCTGGCAGGAGATAAGCCTGTGACAGTACTCAATTGTGGTGAACAGCCTCTGGCCATATCAATGGCTGGACAGTGTCAGTGTAGTGGCCACACAGACTCAGAGCCCAGCCTGCAGCTCACACCAGTACAGATTCAAACAGCAATGCCACCCAGCTAGGGAATACAGGCTGTCCCTCTGCCCAATCAAAGGAGATGGCAGAGCCCATAACTGTCTCACTGGATTGTGGAACATAGCCAGTGGCACTGCTTGGCCTAGAGCACAAGCAAAATCCTAGCCCAAATAGAAAACCTAAAAGCAAAGCCCGCATACCTGTGTCCACAGGCAGCCTGCCCAGAATCCAAGGGCAAACCAAGCGTCTGTCCATACCAAAAAATACCACAAAGGCAGGAAGAAGTGGCTGCTTCCTTAAATGAGCAGCAACAACACAAAGACACAAGGAATATAAAGAATCAGGAAAATATGACTCCACTGAGAAAAACTAATAAAGCTCCAATAATGTATCATAAAGAAACGGAGATACATGAAATGACTGAAATAATTCACTTAACAAATGTACAGGGAACTATAAGAAAATATGGATAGAAAACTACCTGATATTTGGAAAATAATTTATCAATAAAATCAGAAGTTTGACAAAGAGAAACAATTAAGAGATAATGTAACAGGCTGGGATTTTAGCTCAGGTTGGGGTTTTGGCTCAGTGGCATAAACGCCTGCCTGGCAAGCGTGTGAGGTCATGAGTTCGATCCCCAGTACCAAAAAAAAAGAAAAGAGATAATATAATAACTGAACTGAGAAATTCAACAGAAAGATTCAAGAGTACGCTTGATCAAGCAGAAAAAAAAAAATCAACGGGGCTGAAAGACAGAAAATTGGAAATTATCCAGTCAAAGGAGCAAAAGGAATGAAAAGGTATAAAGAAAGTCTAAATACAGGACTCCATCAAGAGACATAACTGTTGCACAAGAGGAGTGCTGTGCTTTCTACATAGATAACCCTCCAAAGCAACGTGCACTCATGGATGGGGCTGCGGGAGGTGATGGATTAGCCCACTGTAGGGTTTAAACTGTGTGTGACGCTGAGGTCACACACCTCAGCCTGGTGGGAAGAGGTGGTCACTGGGGGCATGACCTGCTCACACGCACTCACAGAGATTCCTCTGATGACTGGTTTTATATTATAGTACTGACGTAAGAGCTATGCAAATAAAAGTCATCTTGTTCTTAGTATTGTAATGTTAATACTGTATATAATTCTTCATTTAGCAATCAATACATTTAACGATCCAGTTGCAGGAACAGAACATAGCTGTTAAACAAGGAGAGTGTGTGTGTGTGTGTGTGTGTGTGTGTGTGTGTGTGTGTGTACTTGTTTCCCGCTTCCTCCCGATTGCTCTCTGCTTCCTGCCTGCCACGCCAACCTGCTGGGAGCCAGCTAACCATGGACTGAAACTTTCCTCCTTTTAAATTGTTGGTGTCAGGTATTGTGTCTCAGTGACAAGAAAACGGCTAAAACAAGCAGTTACATATGAGAGGAGAGAAAAAAATTCTAAAACACATATTTAAGGAAATAATGGCTAAAATTTCCCCAAATCTAGGAAAAGATACCAAAACTCAGGGACAAAAAACTCAGAGATCTGCAAGCCAAACTAATCCACAGGAGTTCACTAAGACATACCTAGATCAAGTTACCAAAAATCAAAGACAAAAGAAGAATTCTGAAAGCATAGAAAGAAAACCTATCAGATACCATCAGACAAGCCCTGACTTCTCAGCAAAACCCTGCAGGCTGGAAGAGAATGGGATGATACATATATTCAAAGAAATGGGAAAATAAATTGCTATCCATGACTACTTTGCTTGGCAAAGTTGTCACTCAGAAATGAGGGAGAAATAAAAATTTCCCAAATAAAACCTAAGGGGATTTTATCACTACCAGACAAGTCTTGCAGAAACTGCTATCGAGAATTCTTTATGTTTAATTAAAGGCTATTATCGTAACATCTGAAAGAACAAACCTCAATGATATAGGCAACCAATAGCTGTATTAAGTATATTTTAGTACTATAAAGGTTGTATGTAAAGAAATTTTATCCCTAGTAAGAAGGTTAAAATACAAAACTATTCAAACAACTAACTACAATAGGTTGTTAAAGAATAAAAAATTATAAAAAGCAAATTTTGACATCAAATTTATAAAACATGCAAGTTAAGGTGTAGTTTTTGTATATGATTAAAGCTGAAGTATTATCAACTTATAATAGCTTATTATATATATGGTGTCTTACGTAAACTTCACGGTAATCATAAAGCAAAACTCTACTGTAGATATACAAAACATAAAAAGAAAGAATTCAAAGCATACCACTATACAAAACCATCAAACTACAAAATAAGGCAGTAAAAGGAAAAATGAAATAAAGAATATACAAATTTATCAGAAAACAAATTATAAGACAGCAGGTATAAATCCATACTCATCACCAATTACTTTGTAATTAACTTTTCAAATCAAAAGTCATAAAGTGGGTGAATAGATTTAAAAAAAAATTAAAAAAGACCCAAGCCAGGAGTAGCAGTGCACACCTGTAGTCCCAGCACTCGGGAGGCTGAGGTACAAGGATTGTTGGGAGTTCAAGACCAGCCAGGGCTACAAAGGTAGCTCAAGGCCAGCGGGAACTGCAGAGTGAGACCCTGTCTCAAAAATACAAAAAAACAAAACTCCAACCATATGCTGCCTACAACAGACTCACTTTAATAGTGAAAAGGTTAGAAAAGACATTCCAAGCAAACTGAGACCAAAAGCAAGGGCAGCCATACTTCTATCAGACAAAATACGTTTAGGTCAAAAGCTTAAAAACAGAGAAAGAAAGTCATTATATAATGATAAAAAGATTGAGTCACTTCGGGAACATAACCACACATCCAATATTGGAGCACCTAAAAAGCAATTATAAATATCTGAAGAGATGAACTGTAATACAGTAATACAAGGTAAGGTCACTACCCCACTTTCAACAATGGGCATATCATCTAGATAGAAAATTAACACAGAAACATTAGATTGAATTACACTTTAGACCAAATCAATGACCCTCTACAAAGCATTCTATCCTATAGCAGCAAATATTCTTCTCTGGCATAAATGAAATATTATCTATGAAATGAAAACAGTATAAATCATGTTAGGCCAGAAAAAAAAAGCCTCACATAACTTTAAGAGAGATAAATCATATTGTACGTCTTTCCTGTTCATGTGAAATTAGAAATCAACAATAGGAGAAATCTTAGAAAATTCAGATGAGGAAATAAAACAATATGCACCTGAACAACCAATGGAGAAAAGAAGAAATTGAAAGTGAAATAAAAAATACTTTGAGATGAATGGAAACACCATTTATCAAAACTTATAGTATACAGCAAGAGCAATTCAAAGGGAAATTTATAGAAATAAATGCCTGCTTCAGAAAAAAAGATCTCAAATAAAAAATCTAATATTATAACTTAAGGAACAAAGTTCTGTGCTCACTTTGGCAGCACATATACTAAAACTGGAATGATAGAAGATTAGCACGGCTCCTTTTGCAAGGATGACATGCAAATTCGTGAAGTGTTCCATATTTTTATATTCTAGATAAGCATAAAAAATAATTACGACTTCAAGAACTCCAACAGGGAAAAAACCACCAAGCAGGGCAGACAATTAAACAGAGGGGAAAGGTGAAGAACCAACAGCAGAAAGATAACAAGACAAAAATAGGCCAATCTGTATCAGTCATAACCATTAATGTAAATGGCCTCAATTCACCAATTAAAAGAAACAGACTGGCAGAATGGATCAAGAAATAGCATCCAACCATATGATGTATACAAGAAACCCATTTAACAATAGGAAATTCAGAGACTAAAAGTCAAAGGATGGAAAACAATACTTTATACAACAAGAACCTGTCCACCCCCCCCACCCCCCCGAAAAAAAAGCAGGGGTAGCTATTCTGGTGCAGACAATGTGAACTTCAAACCAAGAATGATCAAAAGAGATAAAGACGGTCACTACAGACTAGTTAGGGGAAAACTTCAAGAGGAAATGATAACAATCCTAAGGAGCTAAAGTTCCAACCAAGCCTAAAGCACAAGAAAGGAAGTGGCAAAAATCAGAGTAGGGGAAATAAAAAAAGACTAGAAAAAAAATCAATGAAACTTAAGAGTTGGCTTTTTGTAAAGATAAAACTAAAAACCCTTATTAGACTTATTAAGAAAAAAAGAGAAAAACTCAAAATCTGAAATGAAAGATAAAGCATTAACAATTCATATCACAGAAACAAATTATAAAAAACTATCAAAAGTTACACATCACAAATATGATAATCTATATGAAATGAGTAAATTCCAAAGCACATACAACCCACCAAGACTGAATCATGAGCAAAGAGAAAGTCTGAACAGATCAGTAACAAGAAGATTGAATCAGTAACGAAGTCTCCTATTAGCAAAAAGCATAGGACCAGAAAGTATTATGGCTGAATTCTACCAAACATTTAAAGAAGAACTAATACCAGTCCTTCTCAAATTACTCCAAAAAACTAAACTTTTCCAAATTCATTTTACAAGGCCAGAGTTACCTTATACCTAAGGCAGACAAGGACGCTACAGAAAAAGATAAATATAGGCAATATTCCTGGTAAACACAGATGCAAAAATCCTCAACAAAATACTACTAAACCAAATTTAAAAACACCTTAAAGGAATCATTCAGTATGAACAAGTGGAACTTATCCTTGGGATAAATGAATGGTTCAACATATGCAAATCAATAAATGTGACTGATACATCACATTAACAAAACAAAGGGAGAAAAAAATCCAGGTGCTCCTTGACTTTATGATGGGGTACCAAAATACTATTAGAACTGGTTTTTTAAAATTACAGTATAAAAAATTAATACATAAATATCAAAAAGATTTCTATACAGCAATAACTATCCAAAAAAGAAATGAAGAAAACAATGCCATTTACAACAATGATTAAAACACCCCAAACACTGAGACGCGAATTTAACCAAGAAGATGAAAGACCTGTTTACAGAAGACAAACATTGATGAAAAAAAACTAAATAAATGAAAAGCTATTCCATGCTCATGAACTGAAAGAATTAACATTGTCAAAATGTCTGCACTATTTAAAGCAATCTACAGATTCGATGCAATCCCTACCACAAATACAATGCCATTTTTCAAAGAACTAGAATAATTCTAAAATCCATATGGAACCCCCCAAATTCCAAATAGCAAAAAGAACAAAGCTGGAGTCATTAAACTCCTTAATTTCAAAATATATTATAAAGCTACTCTAATCAAAACCAACATGGTACTTGTGTAAAGACAGGTATTTTACACAGGGGCGGAAAAGAAAGCTAACAATTGATGGGTTTCTGCCCGCATGCTATTTGCCAAGTCATCACGATGGTCCAAAACGGCTAAGAAACCACAAGAACAGAGCACATCAGTTTCCTCCTTCTTCCCTCAGCCCAACATAAAAACCTCCTCTTGCTTCGTCAAGCGTGTCAGGGCTACTCTGATAAGCTGCTGCTGTCATTTTCCCTTCCTCCCAGTCTCCTCCCCCAGACAGACCTAATAAAAGCCCAACTACTTCTTTGTTCTGGTCAGAAGAAATGTTGCATTCTTCTGAGCAACCCTTCTGTGCCTTCTAAAGGCCTCTTTATCTCTCTTTCTCTTTGTCTCTCAACCATGCCAAAAAACCTGACAAAAATAAACCCAGGGATTTGTAGCTGATTTTTAACAGAGGTGCCAAGGACATAAAATGCAGAAAGAGCAGTCTCCTTCAATAAACAGTTTTAGGAAAACTGGATATTCACATGGAAAACAATGAAATTGGGCCCTTATCGCATACCCTATACAAGCATAAAAATCAACTCAAAATGAATTAAAGACTTATAACTCACAAACTAAAAAACTACCAGAAGAAAACATAGGAACTAAGCTTCACATAACACGGGTTTGGACAGTTTTTCGGCTATGATCTTAAAATCACAGACAGCAAAATCAAAATAGATCAAAAAAACTGCATCAAATTAGAACACTTCAGCCAGATGTGGTAAGTGTTTGCCTGCAATTCCATCACTCTGAGAGGCAGAGGGAGGTGGAGGGTAAATTGGAGCCCAGTATGGGCAACTTAGTGACTTTGGGGAACTGTCTCAAAATAAAAATAAAAAAGTCATGGGACGCAAAGGCCCTGAGCGCAATCCCGAGTACAGGCAAAACACAAAACAAAAAGCTTTTCACTTAAAAGGAAACAACAGAGTGAAAACCCCATGTGAGAAAAAGTATTTGCAAACCCAATAAAGGATCAGAATCCAAAATACCCTGAAATGAAAGTTGCACTTGGGCTATGGATACAGCTCAGTGGTAGGGTACTGGCTGAGCACTTGAAAGGCCCTGCATTTGATCCCCAGCACCACAAAATCAAACCCAGCTCAACTCAAGCCAACCCATAAAAATGTTGAATCATAGAGTTGGATGATGGTAAGTAGGAGATGGGGAACAGAAAAGATTCAGTTAGGCAGGAGGAATAAATTTTTGAGTTCTATTGCATGCAGGGTGATCGTACTTAAAAATAATGTATTGTACATTTCAGCCTCTGAAATCGGGGACAAAAATGAAACAAGGGACTATAACATCAGCAATAGCTTAAACTCTGGAAACTACAGCCATCAAACTTTGGATATATAACATGACTCACTATTATTTCTGAAACTAAAAAAGAAGTCTCTATAAAGAGTTGAGAATATTAAAAATTTTAAAGGAGCAATGTAAACACCTAGATAGCTACGAAGTAGGTATACCTCTTTTGTACAAAATATAATTAAATAAAATTTTAATTTAATATATCAGTACCATGAACAGTATTCTTTGAAGCTACTGAAATATTTACTATTTATCTATTAAAATATATTATTCCCAAATTTTAAGTTACATATGCTCTAGTAAATATGAAGAAAGAAAAAGTGATGAAAGTATATTTCAAAATCACTGAAGATTGAGAAGAGAGAGTTTAGGACATTTGTTTAGACCTCACACGAATATCTTTCAGTTTCATTACCTGTCTCCAAGGCTGAGAAAGTCACTCAAAAGTTTCCTGGTTTGTATTTTTTTTAAATTACTACTTGAAATGTAGAATTTAAATTTGTATAGTTTTTAAATTGCTGTATTTTAAGTATACAAATTGCTGCTGGAGTTACAATTTGATACATATATAGAGTATCTAATGATCAAGTTAGGGTAGTTAATATTTTTCTCTTCTTAAAAAGATTAAACATTTCTGATTAAGAGGCAGTAACTGTCCATATTTATGGGACACAATGTGATTATTTCAATACATGTTTAAATATGTGCTGAAAAAATCTGAGTGATTAATGTTTTTATCTCATTAGCACCACTTTGGAGCATGTGAAGTCTGCTAATTAAGAGAGGGAAAGCGGGAGCCTGGTGATGCTAAGGAAACCCTGCGCGAGACGCGGGGCTGAGCCTGCCCACCAGGTTTCAGTCATTTAAAAGGTGCACTTAATCTAACAGGCGAGCCAGCAGTCACAGGCAGGATTTATGCCCAGCCCAGAAAGCAGCAGTGCTTCACGGAAATGAACAACGACAAAAATGTCAGGAAAAATCTTAAAAGGAAAACAACAAGTCTGTATCTAGTATTTTATATACTTTTCTACAAGCAGGTAATATCCAAAAGTCAGTTACCTTCCAGGTCCTGTGCTCCTACAGGTCACAGTAAATGTCAGGAAAAGGGAGACTGCGGCTACAAGTAAAGCCTTTTGGATCGTAAGGAACACCGGGAAAACTTACTTGGAAAGAATGACGAGGTACAAAGGTTTTCCACAAGGATAATGGTCACCTTCATGCAGAGGTGAGCTTTCCTTTATCAAACAGGCAGCAAAAGGAAGGAGAAGATTTGAAAGGGTGCTCAGGGCCCAGTCCAGAAACTAAATAGTTGTAAAGGTCAGAGAAGTCCCTTCATTTCTTTAGGCTTCCACTTACGTGTACCAATTTCCAGAATACAAACAGTGTTACTCTGTCAATGTACTACTACTCTCAAAGACTTTTTGTCTTTTGTTATCAGTATTCCTGGTAAATGCACTGTTTGTGTTGAATACTTAGTCAAGTTTATCCTTAAAAATAAAAAAAAGATCTCTCTCTCCACATAACACTAAAGCACTAAACTTTTAGCTTGATGATGTGGGCATTTGGCAACTAAAATAATTAAATACTTTAATGTGTATTTTGCACATATAAATTTGGAATATAATAATAAATGTACACTGAGTAAATGAATAAGCAAATAAATCCATAAATTTCTCTATCTCTCAGGTTAAAAAAAAAAAGCTAATTTTTACTTAGGAGCTCTTCCCAGAAATAAACTGTTTCAGCTAAAGCCATGCCCTGTGTAAGAGAATCTGGCTAAAAATTAAGAGACACGAGTTCTAGTCCCAGCTCTAGCACTAACTTTCTATTAATATTTTACTCATATGACCTTAGTTTCTCCATCTATGAAAATATAAATCCTAAAGTCATCCCTTCATAGACAAGAATAAATCAAATATCAAGGACAAAATATTGAAAAATATCAAAATACTTTACAAAGAAGTGACTATTAGCTTTTGATTCATACACCCAAAAAAGCTGGATGTAACAGTATGAACAACAACAACAAAAAAACCAAGACAGGGAAAAAAAAAACTATCAAGGAATTAGATTATACAAAGTCTTTGGAGACCTTGTCATGGTCCAGAAAAAGTCTCACTTGTAACCCCATGAAAAAGTTACTGAAATTCTAATAAGTTAATTCCAATCTACCACTTCCAAGGCAACACGTGGGAAGAACACAGACCCTAAGACACATTTGTAGTTCTGGGGAGCAGAGGGGGTCCTACATCCAGCTAGAAGGATGGCTAACCAGAACAAAGGCCTCGACCTGGACCGAACCCAGGTTTGGTTAGTTTGTGAAAAGGAAGTAGCTGGGCTTGGTGGCCCACGCCTGTAATTCCAGCACTCAGGAGGCCGAGGCAGGAGCATCACTGTGAATGTGAGACCAGCCTGGGTTACACAGTGAGCTCAAGGTCAGCCTGAACTACACGGTAAGACCCTTTCTCAAAAGATTAAAAAAAAAGAAAGAAAGAAAAAAGAGGGAAGTGGCTTAGGAAGTGACTGTAGTTGTGGCTACACAGTGCTGTGAAATGGGCTAGGTAAGAGCCCAAAATCACCTCTGCAATGTGCCGAGGGCAATACGCGTAACGAGTAATCTGTGTAACATGATCTAAGGCAGTATCTAATGTCTTAGGGTTGTGCTTCAGCTTTGATGTGTAATCTTTTACACCCGGAGATGTCAAGGCTTCTTGTCAAGGCTCAACCCCAGCCCACACTGTGGCTCCTTCCCACCTGGCTCACACCTGCTTTTTGGGAGCCACGGGGCAGGGCAACACAGACCTGCCACCTTATTTCAAAGACTGCACATCAGCACCTCGGCCAGACTCATTTGTATTGCTTTAGCCTATTGAGAAGATAATAAAATGTCCCAGCCAGTCCTGTATGTATCAATACACGGAAACAGGGCCAGGTTTAGCCAAAATGGAGACCACTGCTCCTCTTTCAGTCACCCAGGAGGACCTCTACACTAGATCCTCTTCTTCATCAGACACTGCGCTTGGGGCTAAGAAACATGTACACACCAGTGGAGCCTGAGGCAGGAAAGTCACTGAGTTCAAGGCCAGCCTTGAACACTACCCAGTGGGCTAAAGGCCAGCCTGAACTGCACAGTGACACAGTGAGATCCAGCCAAGCAAGAAATAAAGGGATGGTATCTAATGTATGTGTGTGTGTGTGTGTGTGTGTGTGTGTGTGTGTGTGTATATATATATATATATATATATTTTTTTTTTTTTTTTTTTTTTTTTGCAGTACCAGGGATCAAACTCATGACCTCACACTTGCCAGGCAGGTGCTTATGCCACTGAGCTAAATCCCCAGCCCTCTGATATATATTTCTAAAACAACACTTGAGGTATAATTTACACACCAAAAAACTCACTCCTCTAAATGAACAAATTTGGTGGGTTTTAGCATATTCATAACAGTGTATGAAACTACCTACTTTCATAGTATTTTCGTCACCCCAGAAAGAACCCTATAGTCATGGTAGTCACTCCCCATCCTGTCCCCCTTTCCCAGCCTGCGGCAAACCCTCATTTACTTTGTTTCACTAAGTTTGCCTATTCTGGACGTTTTGTATACATGGACATATATGTGGTCTTTGCTATAGCTTCCCTTAGTGTGAGTACTTGACACTAACCAAATCTGCATCTCAAAAAGTCACTGCTTTTGGGACACTATCAAGACTTTCACAAGAAGGGTCAGACTCTTATTTTACTCTGAGGAGTAGTCTGATCAACATTTAGAAACTGTGGCGAGAGCCTAATAAATTACAATTTTACAGGAATATAAGAAATGTCTTTTGCTTTCCCATTATTAAAAATTTTAATAAAACTATGAAATACAAATCTGATAAAATTTCTCTATTTACAGATTTTAAAAATTTCAAATGTATTTAATAAATATTTTACATATATTACTGTTTTATCTACGTCCCTAAAAGTTTGTAATTCAAGAGAATACAGGGCCAGAGATTTAGCTCAGTGGCTCAGGCGCTTGCCTGGTAAGTGTAAGTCATGAGTTCAATCCTTGGTACCAAAAAATAAAAATAAAAATAAAAAAAGGTTCTCATGAGAATACAGAAACATTCCCAGGTACATTCAGCTATTTGATCTTTGACAAAGGAGCCAAAAGCATATGGTGTAACAAAGATAGCCTATTCAACAAGTGGTGCTGGAAAAACCTCTGCAGGTTCAATCCTCTGCAGACAGTTAGCATGTACTAAACTAATATCAAAATGGATGAAAGATCTAAGCATCAATACAGAAACACTGAACCCACTGGAAGATAAAATAAGTAAACCACGTGAAGTCATAGGTATAAGGAAGGGTTTTAGAGGACCACAGCTGCACAAGAAATAACAGCAAGAAAGGGCTGGGGATTTAGCTCAGCGGCATAAGCGCCTGCCTTGCAAGCAGGCAGTTGTGAGTTCAATCCCCGGTACCAATAAAAAGGAAAAAGGCAAAAAAAAAAAAGAAATAACAGCAAGAATCAACAAATGGGATTACATCAGACCAAATGTTTCTGAACATCAGAAGAATCCATTAGCAATGTGAAGAGGCAGCCTATAGTATGGGACAAACTTTCTGCCAAGCATTCCTCAGACCGAGGACCAATATCTAGAATATAAAAAGAACTCAAAAAAATTAGATCACCTAAAATAAAAGACCCATTCAAGAAATGCGGAAGAGAAATGAGCAGACATTTCATAAAGAAAGAAGAAAGAAATCTCTGGTTGTTAGAGAAATGCAAAGTAAAACAATGCCAAGATTCTATTTTATGCCAGAAAGTATGGCAAGTATTAAGAACCAATTCTAGCACGGCCTGGGTGAAAAAGGAACCCTCTGCCACTGCTCGTGAGAACGAAACTAGTACAACTATTATGGAAGTCAGAATAGAATAGAGGTTTCTCAAAGAACTGAAATTAGAAATTCCGTATCATTCAGCAATCCCCTTGCTAGGTTTCTTCTCCAAAGAGCTTCAGACATCATACTACAGTGATATCTGCATGTCAATACGTTTGCAGCAGCACAACTGATAATAGCTAATTCTTGGAAGCAGGCTGTAACATCATCAACAGACAACTGGATAAGGGAAATGAGGTATCTACCTGTAACAGAATACTACTCGGCTATAAAAGATGAATTGGTGACATTTGTAGGCAAACTGATGCACCTGGAGAATATGTTGAGTGAAATAAATCAGATACACAAATTTAAATACCATATAACATCTTTCATTAGGGTAAGGCAAAGTACAAACAAAGAGCCCAATAAAGGATGGATAGAAAGAGACAAGGGGACAGATGTCTTGTAGATGGGAAAGGGGCCTAGGAGGCCACGGGCAAGGCCAGAGGGAGAGGAGAAAGGGAAATAAGTGGAATAAAGACAGGCCATGGGCCGGAACCTAGTAACTCACTGCCTGTGTGCCATAAACATGAGACAAGATTGACAATATCTATGAGAATGAAAACGGGGAAGGGGACTTAGAGGAGGAAAGCAGAAGGTGAGAAGGAAGGTACCCACCCTCCAAGATGACTATAAGATGCATGTGTTACAAACATAGACTAATAAAAAAGTGTATAATTCAAAATTGATCTGCTAATTGGAAATATAAAAGACTTTTATATGCAGAATTACTTTACATTTAGAAATATGAATTTCCAGGATCATTCATGAGTATGGAAAGATCTGATGATTTTCCAGGCTAAAACAACTAACTTCTCTGGAATTAAAAAAAAAAAATAGAAGGTTGAAAATTCAATTCTTTGCAAATATATCAAAAGAAAACTAAATTTTGTAGGTGTATATATTAAAGTTGAGAAAGTGATGTTAACAATTTGGGAATGTCATGGATTAAAGGGGGACAGCTGTAACTCCTTTTACTGATGAAAGTAACAGAATGTAGTTCAAAGAGGCCGAGCGACTTGTCCTGTTGGCATGAGCACAAGGGCTCACCAAGCTCGATGCTTTTCATGAATTATCTCCAGTCCCCTAACAATCCTATTTATGTCTCCACTTTAGAGTCAAGGTTTGGAGAAACTACACAACACCCTCACAGTTACCTACTAATGTGTCACAGCTAAGAATCTGCTCAGCTCTCTGACTTCAGAGAGCTCCATCGTTCTGCCATATGCATGGCCTCCTCTCCTTGTTCATCATCTAGACACACAGTTCAAAAACAGCCAGGTTTGCCTAACTCAGCTGAGTAGAAGACATTAGAAATTAGAAAAAGCACCGACAAAATTAAAAGCAAAAAATACAAGAAAGAGATCAGCTCTGATACTATTTTAAAGTTGATAAATACAGCTAATAAAAAGAACTTGGTTATTCAGAAACATCAATTGTACCTGGTTAAATCCCTCAGGCGAGCCACCTCGGCATCACGCTGGCGTAGTGTTATTCCCAGTATTTGATTTTCCTTTTCAGCAGTTTCTAACTTGAACTGGGTGTCTTTCACGTTTACCAAGGCTTCCTCTAATTCTAAAACAACAAAAAAGTCTCACTTTTTCCTTACTTTGAAAAAACATGAGACTGTAATGACGGCCCAAATACCTACCAAGTTTTACTCTCGTTATCTCAATGTCAAATTGCTGTTTATTTTCAAGAAGGGTTTGATCTTTGTCTTTAAATATAGTGGTAAATTTTTTGTTTTCATCTTTTTGATTTTCAATCACCTTTAGCAGTTCTTCATTTTTATTCTGCAGTAATTCCTGGCTCTTCAGTGACTCCTGCAATTGATTTTGCAGGGACATGTTCAATGACTGAAGGGAAAATACTGCAAGACAAAAAAGATCAGATAGGTGTTTCCCAATTTTAAAAGAATAAATCCGAAAATGATCTGTTTGTAGAAGGAGAAAGGTCTGGAATGTTTTGATTCTTAGTAATTACGTGTTTGAACTGGATTGGCAGAAGTTACACTTTTCTTCTCCATTTGATAATCTGGGCATTAAGTTATTTTTATATTTCAATAAGAATCATACATATACAAAGTAAAAAATTCAAGAGCCTCAAAATGATACCAATGATACCAAATGATTAAGTGTCTCTCTTCTCCCCATCCCAACTCTCCTACAAAACAAAACAAACATAAGGATTTGGAAGTATCTTCAAAACTGCAACTGTCTCATCAATTCTGCTGCTATAAATCCATCCTGCAAAAATGCTCACAAACATGCACAAAGACACTGTGCCATTGTTTGCACTGGGGAAAAACCCAGATATCTTAAATATTTTATGGTAGAGCTACATAGAGCATACTCAAGGAGTTATTAAAGAGAGAAAAAAAGCATATTTATGTATTTTGATAGAGGAAAAATACCCATTATACTTTAAATAAGAGCTTTGAAAGAATATATACAGTATAATCATATTCTTTTATTTTTTTGGTACCAGGGATTGAACTCACGACCTCACGCTTGCCAGGCAGGTACTTATGCTGCTGAGCTAAAACCTGGCCCCCTATAATCACATTCTTAAAAAAGAAAACGTACATATATAGTTCTACTGTATGCAGCACAATATAAACCTTTCATAAACGTGATTATTGGGAAGTGATATCACTGATCTTTTCTTTCTCTACATTATTTTAAATTTTAATAAGGAACATTATTCCTGTTTTTTAAAAGTCGATTTAAGAAATAAGACAAACTGGGGTAGTACTACAGCTTAGCGGTAGAGTGCTTGACTGGCATTTGCCAAGTCTCTGGGTTCAAAATCTAGAACAGGAAAAAAAAAAAAAAGACAAGAAAGAAAAATCTACTTTGACAAAATAATTAAGGAAGCTCAATTCTTTTCCAACATTTCCAGAGCCACGAGACTTTAATCCTTTAAGTTCTTTTACCTACATTCAGGATTGCATTCCATATTACCATATGCCTTTGGAGTTTTTTCTTGTTCTCTGAGTTTATGGTTCAAAATTCTTAATTGCCTAAAGGAAATAACAAAGAACAATGAATACTAGAATTCCAAGTCCATATAGTGGTGTGCATATGACAGCTTATAAAAAAGAAAAAAATACCACAGTGCAATGCAAATACATAAAACATAAAAATAAAAAACTAAACAACCAAAACCACACTAGGGCTAGGGGCCTGAACAAATTTTGAAGATTGGTTTGGATAGTCTCCTCACTAGAAAAAGGTTAACTTTTCTCTTGTCTTTTCTTTGCTTTTCAGTGACTTTTGTTTCTTTTCCTTTTTATTCCTTTTTGCTATTTTCTTCCATCTTATTATTATCTTCTCTGTATCTTATTTACTGTAATCATTTACCTTTCGAAAGATCTGTCATTACACAAGAACTAGAATACGAACAGGCACTAATTGCTATCAGACATCTTTCTGCATGTTTGTCACACATCAACAAAACTGGGAAATATAAGTGCCTCTAATAATATCCTTAGTAGGTAAAAAATTAAACGACTAGTTAATGAGAATGCGAATAAGTAACAACTCTGCCCCAAAATGAACTTCAGAATATGCAGCTGTTTCACAAACAGAAACATATAAAAATGTTTTCTTGATTTCTGTGAAGGTATTACTTATTTTTTTAAAAAAGATATCTCTAGCATCTTTACATTATTACTTACCTGAAAATATTTGTTACTAAATCCTAAAATGATAGAATGTTTTATCATTCACATGTAGAGTTAAACAGAAAACATACCAAAACCAAAACAAAACAATTATATACATTTTAGGGAAAAATTCAAATAATCTTTAAGTGAGAAAGGCATTCCAAGCCAGTATGACTCTCCAATGTTTTCAACACAATTTGTTACTGTTTTTGGGCTACAGGTATAGCTCAGTAGTAGAGTGCTTGTCTGATATATACAAGGCTTTGGGTTCAATACTCAGCAACACACACACACACACTCAGACACACACACACACTCAGACACACACACACAGACACAGACACACACACACTGTCTCTCTCTCTCTCTCTCTCCAGGCACAAGCAACCACCTAATCTTTGCATATGCTAGAAGAAAGGTAGCTTCTCTAACAAACAGTACTGGGAAAAGCAACCATGCACAGAAGATTGAATCTAGACCCATGTCTTTCCTCATGTATTAAACCAAAGTGAAAATGAATCAAAGATCTGAATAAAAAACAGAAACAACCTCCTAGAAGATAAAATAGGCAAAAGTTTTATTTAAAGACAGGCATAGCACAGGACTTTCTGCGCACAGTCCCAGGTGTACAACAAACAGCACCAAGGATCAGCAGATGGTGAGGCCCACAACACGGAGTGGTGAGTACCAGAGAAAGTTTCTGAGGTTGCCCTCCAGATGCTGGAATAGAGCAACACAAGGAAGACGAAGAGGGAAGTGGGTCCCCTGGACCCAGGAAGGATCTGAAGCACGAACTGAAGCCCACAGAGTGATGAGAGAAATTTGGATGAAGGAGGAGGAAGTAGCCCAGCGGAGCCTTCTCCCTGAGTCGAGACTTACTGAATGAGAAGAGTGGTTCACACCTGCAACCTGGTGACTGCTGGCAACCCCAGACGGTACCATGGAGACATGCAGCCGTGGAGGGGGGCAGTGGACATGAAGGACTGCACTAGCTGGGGGTGAGTTCTGGGGGTGAGGGAGAGAGCAGTGGGCTGGGAGCCATCTAGGAGAAGGGCCGACTGATCTCGGAACTCAGAGCGGCTGCTGGCTCCATAGTGCTTCTCAGCTGAGTCCAGGCCTGGCACCAAAGTTGCGCTGACTGCTGCAGGCTGCGTGGGTCTGGTCTTAGCCCCCGTGGCCAGAATACAGACTCAACCTCAGGGGAAATAAAGGTGCAGGCTTGCTGAGATTACTACCCCACCGTAAAGCTACTGCTGGCTTGCTGGGATAGATCGACACAGATCTGTACTCTATGTCCACGTGTTGTCTACCAGTGAAGCACAAACAGACCTGGAAGTGGGTCTCTCTCTCTCTCTCTCTGTTTTTGTTGTTGTAGTTGCTTGTTTTTTTCCTCCTTCGTTGTTTAATCTTTTTATATATGAGTGTGAATGTGGTTTCTAGTCTCTTTGTGGTTGTTCTGTTTTTCCTTTAATCTTTCTTTTCTCTTCCCCTCCCTCCAATCCTCTGCACCAGTCTCCCGAAGTCAGCAGTTCCCCACTGTCCTCCAGCCTTACTCCTAATCTCTTCCCCTTTTTCTACTTCTCTATTTTCTTCCTAACCCCTTTTACACATGAAGGTAAAATTGACATATTAAGTACTTATACACTGCATACAATTTTCTGGATTAGATTTTGTGAACCACAAATTTAGTTTATATGGTTAGAGGTGGAAAATTAATGATTACCCGTTTGTCATTTTCTAGGTTGTGTTTGATGCTATTGTTATTGCTGCTGGTACCACGTTAGCCAAAAGTGACGTAATTGTTCTAACCAGCTGTTCATTCTGTTATTCAAGACTGAGATGGGCTAACAGTCATAGAAAATACTGTGGCACAGTACCAAAGAGCCAGGGGCCAGGCCAAGTAGACAGCAACTTCTCATTCCCAACAAATTGAAGATGTAAGATCTTGCAAAGGACTCAAAACCCAAAAATCAAGCTACACCTGGAGCATACCTCAGAGTAGTAGCTATTTCCTAAGAGTTATAAATACTAGCAATAAAGCAACTCACCATAGGCAATTTATAACATCAACCCAGGAATTACACAAAGCAAAACAAAACAAAAAGATAGAAAAATAGAGCATAAGAAAATGATGGAAGCCATAAATGCTCAGCATAGGAAATAAATGGGATCCAGAAAACAAATGCAAGCAAATATTCAGGAGAATAAAAGTTCCATGAAAACATCTACAGCAAAATGAGTCAGTATGAGGATACAATGTCATATACAGAAAAAAGGCCCATGGGTAGCAAACATGAAAAGATTTCTTAAAAGTAGCCAGGGACCAGGAGAAGTCAGTCCAATCACTGTTAGATGATACAAAGAAGAATAATGAAGATTGATTGGAATCGATGAAAAAGCAAGATAAGTATTTTTTAAAAAACAGCTGTTCATAGACATCATGGCAGAAAACTTCTCATAGGAAAAAGGAATCTGACGTAATGATAAGTGAGACATATACAACTCTAAACTCTACAGTGAGGCATATCATAGCCAAGATTCCAGAAATTCAACATAAGAGTAAAATATTAAAGCTGTTAGGGAAAAGAAACAAATGACTTATAAAGGAAAGCCCATCAAAATCAAAACAGCACAAACACTCAAGTCAAGGAAAGCTTGGAGTGACGTATTTCGAATTCGAAAGGAAAATCACCTCCAACTCCGATCGATGTACCCTTTAAAATTATGCTTCACAACTGACAGAGAAATAAGACAAAGAACACCTGAGAAAATTTATGATCACCAAACCAGCACTTCAAAATGTTTTGAAGGACATTCTAGAAAGATATAACAAGGATTAAAACTCCATGAACCTCAACAGAAGGAATCTACCAGGCAAGAAAAATAATTAAACAAGGGCGGGGTGTGTGGAGACAAGGATAAGTCAATACGTATCAGTCATAACCATCAGTGTTAAAGGTCTCAGTTCACCAACCAAAAGACACAACACCATTCCCAACAGGACCCAACATAATGAAACACCTAGGAATCAATCTAACAACGGATGTGAAAAGACCTCATATTGAAAACTACAGTACTCTGAAAAAGGAGATTGAAGCTGATATCAGAAAATGAAGATATCCCTTCCTCTTGGGTAGAAAGAACCAGTATAATGAAAATGGCCATACGTCCAAAACTGTTACACAGATTTAACACAATTCCAATCAAAATCCCAATAGCACATCTCACAGAATGAGAGAAAATTACCCTAAAATTCATTTAGAACCAGGAGAGACCTGGAACAGTGAAGGCAGTTCCGGGCATGAAAGGCAAGGCAATGGGCATCCCAATCCCAGGCTGAAATTATACTGTAAAGCTATCGTGATTAAGTAAACAAACAGTGTGGTACTGGCAAAACAAACAGACCCAGGGATCAACAGAATAGACGAGAAGATGCAGAAAAACTCCACACATGCCCAGTCATTTCATCACTGACAAAGGTGCCAAACACATTCACTGAAAGACAGTCAACCTCTTTAATAAATGGTGCTAGAAACACTGGCTTTGCACATGCCAAAGGTTAAAACTGGACCCATATCCTTCACCGTGCACTAAGCTAAATTTGAAATGGATCAAAGACCTAAATATTAAAACAGAAATGTTAAATCTGCTGTAAGACAGGAAAAGGTAAACCTTTTGAAGACAGAATAGGTAAAATCCTGATTGCATAGGAACTATCACAAAGAGTCAACAACTGAGATTTCATCTTATTAAAAAGCTTTTGCACAGCAAGAGAAACCACCAGCAGAGTGATGAGACAACCCATAATGTGGGAAAAAGTGTTTGCCAGCTGTTCCTCAGCTAAAGGATTACTATTTAAAACATATAAAGAACTCAAAAAATCAGACCTCCAAAATTTAAAAACCCAATACAAAAGTAGGAATCTGAGAAGACGATGAAGAAGCAAATTTTTAAAAAGCAAATAAACATACGAAAAAATGTTCAGCATCACTGGACATTGAAGAGGTCCAAACTGAAACAACACTGAGATCCTACCGCACCCTGGAAAGAATGGCTCAGATCAAGAAATCAACCAATAAGAAATGCTGGCGGGGCTGTGGGGGAAAAAGAACCTTTCTCACTGTGGGAGTATAGACTGCTGCAGCCACTGTGGAAATCAGTATAGAGATTCCTAAAAAACCCAGGACTGGAGGTCCCATTTGAACCAATTATTCCCCTTCTGGGTATCTTCCCAGAAAAATTAAAACCAGGGATTGAATTCATGACCTTGCGCTTACCAGTCTGGCACTTACGCCACTGAGCTAAGTCCTCGGCACTTCTAAACCACAAGATGGCAATAAACTTCAAAACCATCAGGAAAAAAATCACTTCTCCAGCTGAAAGGAAACATGTAGTTTCCAAAAGGAAAAATGGAAAAAAGGAACCACATTTATTTTGATTGAAAATGATGAAAACCACTTCTGAATAAAAATATGCATTCTAGTTTTTATTTGTAAAGATTATGAATGATGGGCTGGGGATTTAGCTCAGTGGCCTAAGTGCCTGGCTGGCAAGTTTGAGGTCATGAGTTCAATCCCCAGTCTCCTCCTAAAAAAAAAAAAAAGATTAGGAATGATTCTTTTCAAACAAAGATGATAAAGTGACACAAAAATCTTAACACTGTTGCTGGAAACTTCATTCTGCTTCAATGGAATGTATCTCATAAATCCTTCATTATTCAGTAATTTCACCTTTCAAATGGCAAGAGGATACTATCCAGTACAGTCATTGTCCTGTAAGCACTACCAGAAACCTCTAATGCCAAGTGTAAAGTAATACCTTCAAAAGAATTAAAAATAATTGGTGAGCAATCAAATACTAGGTCTCATTTTCTTGAGTGGCTTACAAATTAGCTCTTAAGGCAATTCTAAAACGTTCTAAGGAGTGCTAATAAATAACCATTGATATTTCCATAGTAACAATGTTAAATAGATAATATGCTAAGATTAAATTCTAGTGTTCTTAAGAAACCAATTATTTAAATGTTTATTTATTTGACTGGCTCATAATATATTCATTTGTTCCACAAAATACACCTAAATATTGACGTATAAATAAGTCTCTACTTCCTACTTGACAGTGTAGAAGACTATAAATTAGGACTCTTACCATCTAAAATCAAATTGCCTTGGGTTTGAATGCTGACTCTGCCACATCTTAGATGTGTGACCTTGAGCAAATTACATAACCTCTCTGTGTCTTGGTTTCATTATCTATAAATGAGAATAACATAATATCTTCTTCATAGAGTTACTATGAGGATTTCAAGGGATGGTACATATAAAGGACAAAAGCTTGGCATATACGAGTGTTCAATAAAAGGAGTAGTAGCTATTGTCATTAACATAATTTTTATTTATTCTTAGTTTTGTAAAATTAATACTGTTACTGGGATTTCCTAGGTCAGGACTAAAAGTAGTATGGTTAGAATTTAAAACCATCAACCCTATTATTTGTGTGTGTGTTCAGAGTGAGAGATTAATGGTTTATATTATATATCTCAATACCTCTAGATGTTGTGGCTTGTGTCTAGATGTCCCCCAGAAGCTTCATGTAGTCAAAGGTGGGTTTTCTCAGAGGTGACTGGATCTAGAATATGTGATGCTGTAGTCAAGTGTGTGATTGTGTGTGAATGTGGGCGTATGATTACTAAATCAGTCCACTGATTGATTTGGTATAGTTATGGATGTGGGTAACTGGAAGGCCCAGCCTGGGTGTGAATGCCACCTTGGACAGAAAATGAGCGACAGAAAGAGGGCTGCTGTTGTTGCTCGTCACTTGCTGTTTCTCACACTTTGCTGCCTTCCAAGCTGCCTCTGCCTGCCGTTAGCTGTCTCTCCTCCGCAGTGCCTCTCGGTCATGCCACTCTACCTTGGGGCCAGCTAACTATGAAATGAAAATTCTGCAAATTGTGGGCCAAAATACACCTTTCCTCCTTTAACTTTGGGTATTGGGTATTTTGCCTCAGCAATGACAAAAGTAACTAAGACACTAGGCTAATTATTATTGAAGAAATAACTCTAATCAAGTAAATTTCTCTTGGTGTCATACTACATAGACTCTAGAGAGACCAATGATGGAGAATGGCACACGTATTATTTGCTTTTCTTTCTTTTTAGAGGAAAAAAAAAAGCAAAACAGAAAAAAGGGTAGAAATAATACAAATTTCAAAAAAGAAAAAAACACTAAGAAATCACTAGTTGATAAATTACATATTTTTGTCTTAGAAGTAGTTGCTCAAGTCACAAAATCAAAGCATAAAAATTGGACAATCAAACAATGACAGTACAAACCATTCGGTTTGATGACTTAACAAAAACTTAGTGGTATGGTTATTTATCTTGCACACTTAAAGATACATATAGTTATGTTTTTCTTTTAAGATAAAAGATATTAGGAGTAGTTTGGTGCGCCAGGGGAAGAACAAATCACATCTCCCGAGATCCGCCCGTGTTGGAACTTGGGGGATGCTCAAGAAAGCAATATGCCCTCCTTTCTGGTAAATGGCAGCAGGAGCAAGCAGTGGGCACGCCAGGGAGAGAGCAAGTGAGCGTCTCCTGTGAGCCTACTCTTTTAGAACAAACTCCATTGCAGAGCTGCAAAAGCACTGGAAATGTACTTCAATTCTCTGCAAGGCAAATTAATAAACAGACAATGGAACACTGGCCTGATGGACATCACTCAAACGTGCAAGCTAAGATATATTGGTAATATGTGAGTGATTTCTTCTATATTTCAAGAATAGATCTTTAGTTTAAACAAATATAATTCTAGGCTAAGCATGGTGATACACACCTGTAATCCTAGATACTCGGAAAGCTGGAGCAGGAGAATTATTAAGTTTGGAGCCAGCCTGAGAAATTTAGCAAGATGTTATCTCAAAATGAAATTTAAAAGGGCTGGGGAGGTAGCTTAGTAGTAGGGTGCTTGCCTGAGGCCCTGAGTTCAAACCTCAAAAGAAAAAAGAAAAAGAATTCTAACAAGAAAAAAAAAAACCTATGAATTTAAATGAGTCTTTTCCTATATCTAAGCCAACAGTGCTTACCTACATCAGGTTCTCCACTCTTTTCTGGGTATGTGGGAAGTATGAGAAAATTACATATCCCAGAACTTTATATTAGGGAGGACCATGTGACTTGGTTTAGCCTAAAAAATAAATATTAAGTGGTAGTGAGACAGTCACTTATACAATGTCTACTGCTTTATTAAGCTTTACAATGTCTATAGCTCTATTTATTATTTATTTATTTACTTTGTAGAGAATTGAAGCACATTTCAAGTGCTTTTGTAACATTGCAATGGAGTTTGTCCTGAGAGAATATCACATTTGACACTGTATAAGATGGATTTGCATGTTATTAAATCCAACATGCAAAAATGACCCCATTATTAGACACATGCTGTTTTTACTGGAAAATACAACCTGAGACTGGTTTCAGTGGAAAGAGGCTGAATCATGAATCATAAGATAAAAAGCAGCTTTTAGTAACCCAAGTTGATTTTTGAGTTAGGGAAAAATTAATTTTTGCTGTATTGTGTCAGTGAGATTTAGAAGTTTGTTTCTGTAGCGAAGCTTAGATTCACATGATAAATACACTCGGGCACCTCCTCTTCCCGCCTCTGCACTACAAACCAGTGACAACAGAGGTGAGGGAGGCAGGAGCACACACGCACTGATAGGAAGACGCAAGAGTTGGAGAATGCTGGGAATCTTTAGGAAATGGGAAAGAAAGGGCAAAAATATAGTAAGACAGGAAATCTATTTTCTTTATAAGGGCTTAGATTTAACATCTGGCATCTTGTTCAGCTATGAGACATCCTTACCTACAGACAAAAACATTTAAAGAGTGATTCTCACCTCCGTAACTGAGCATTCTCACTTCTCAATGGTTGCATGGCCAGTGCTATTTCCACTTGGATATCTGTGTTTCCACTTACGGCTAAAAGTCCAGTTATACATGCTTCCACTTCTGTTACCAACCTCTGAATTTCTGAATCCTCTATGAAACGCAGAAGAAATGAGTAAAATCAGTATTGTCGATTGGTTTTGGACCAGGCTATTACTAAAAAGGAAAGTCTAGATATTGCATACTTGCTATAAATACATTTCACTGATTTATGATTTTACTGTAATTCCTGTCTCTCTTTCCTGCTACACGTACTTGGTTACTCAGAACATACAGTAAGCTAAAGATTAATTCTAAATCACACAATTATTATGTAAGTAATTGTTTTTGGTTGTGTCAGGTATGAAAATGGTTTACATATAGGTCTTAGTTCATATTTTCCAAACGTCTACTATAGTGGACTGAATTGCTATAGGGTTTCCTATAATTGGATTTAGTATCAACAGTTACAATGCAGCCTTTGATCACGGCATAAAAAATTATTTACTTTAGATGATTCATCTGGCAAAATACTGAGTAGGGGTCTGCTACGATAAGGTATCATTACTTGATTTTATAGAGTAGATTTAATACCACGTTTGTTAATTGTGCTGAGTGGACATTTTTGGAGGAAGCAAACAGATATAGATAAAAGACAAATAGTAGAACATTTACCCTTTAATTTTTGTCTGATTCCCATTCATATTTTCCGTGGACTGAAAATATTTAAAATTATTTATTGATAGAGATTAAAAGTGTATTTAAATTAAAAATTTATTGAAGTCCACAAGTATTTTAACATCTAGATGAAAAACATCCACACAGTGAACAACTATGCCCAACTACTGAGCAATTGTCTTCTATCAGTCTTTGTCGCTAATGGGCTTCTGATACTGAGGGATAAGAAACTAGGATCCTAGAAAACTAGACCTATAATCTTAGTCAACTCACTGGATTCTTCTTGTGTAGAAATTAGCCTCCAAAAAATAAAAGCATGTGCTACAAAAACTGTATGTACTTAGCATACATAACATGTTTTAAAACACATATACTTTGGCCAGCTGCAGCTGATTAACATGAGTATTACTTTTCAGACTGCTGACTTCTCAGACTGAAAATGATAAAAATTCTGTCCTTAGTTTGTAAAGTACAACATATTATTAACTATTGCCACTATGTTGTATAAGAGAGCTCTTGGACTTATTCCTCCTATCTGAAATTCTGAAATTCTGAGTCCTCTGACTATCACCTGAATTAGTTAACTCTTGAAGCCTGCGTTTCTTGACAGGTAAATGGAGATAATATTTCATTAGGCTGCTGAGAAGATTAAATGAGATATTGTTCTCCAAGCCTAAATTTCCTCTTCTGTAAAATGAAAGCATTACATAGTACTTCATATGATTACTGTTAACATTAAATAATTTATAGAAAATACAGCTGATTATATGGTAAGTATTCAATAAGTGAGAGCTACTATCACTACTATTACTACTATTATTGTCCTCAATAAATATTTGGTAAATAGTCATAATCTGAAGGTCTGAAAATACAGCGACTTTAATACACTAAACATGTAGCTTAATGGCATTATATTTTTATAGCATTCTACGATTTTTTTTTTTTTTTGGTGTCTGTTTGCAAATATTAGGTATTCAGTTGATGCTTCCATAATCAGTTACTGTTTTTCAAGATAACAAATTTGTAACTCATTCCAAGCAAAAGCTATTACTTCAGAATTTATATAATGAAAATAAATTATATAATCTTGATTGAAGAGAAAAATCCTTTAAAAAAGCCAAAAAAGGCACTAAAAGGTTTGGGCTACTCCTCAAAATGAGATTTGTTAAACAATAGAAGAGTGGGCATCTATCTTACTTTTATTTTATTTTGTTATGATATTGTATTTTATGGTGCCGAGGATGGAATCTAGGACCTTGTGCATATTAGGGAAGTACTCTACCACCAATTCACATTCGCAGTCCTACAACTTTATGCATGTGTTACCAGGAAATGAACTTAAAGCCTTTACATTGAACCTAAACCCTTTTTATTTTGAGACAGGGCCTGGCTAAGTGTCCCAGGCTGGACTTGAACATGTGAGCCCTGCCTTAGCCTCTCAGAGTGTGGGGATCACTGGCGTGTGCCACTATACTTAATTTCCCACTGATTAGGAAAAGTAATCAGTCTGTTTCAGGAGTCTTTTAACAACTCTCGTTACAGCTCTATAGAGTCTCCTGACTGCATCATCCCAAAGTCTGCTGGATCAAACAGAGTGAATGCACACTTACAAGCAAATGCTTGCTGTTCAATATACTTCAAGTCTACATGAAAGAAGGGACCCAAACCTAAAATTAAGAACACAGCAGCAGACCTCATTTCCTTATCAGCTCAAAACACAGATCCTGTGAAAACATCACCAGCTCCATGGCCACTACCCTAATTGTGAATGAGAGACAATATGATGCTGCTACTCAGCATAACAGCATTCTACAGGAATTATAAAGAAAGTACTCATCTACCTTGTTCTGCTACCAAGGCCTTGAGCTCTCTCAGCAAATACCTTAGAGTTCTAACTTTTTCAGTAGTCTGATTCATGTTTTTTGCCTTCTGTGTATCCTGGACCAATTTTTCATCTTGCACATGCACGCTTGAACAGTTTCCTTCATTTGTAGCCCCTGCAATTTGTTCTCTGGCACATCTTTCTTCATCAGAGGCCAAGGAAGCTGGTTGTAGCCGTGTTGGGCTCCCGGGGATCTTACTGTCTGCCAGAGTTTCCTTTCCGAGAGACTGAAGCAAAGTCATACATGTTTGAAGACACTTCAGTAAGTCTGCTTCCTTACAGACTCCTTGTTGTGGTAGAATCCAATTAGCAAGACTCAGTTGCTGATATGTGGGAACAGCTGCCCTGTCAGTTTGGGACAGGCCACAGGCAACTCCAGGACTGGCACCGGGTAAGCTCCTCGGAACATCAAGATCGTTCATAGACATTGTTTTACCTTGGCATACAAACTGGTCACCACCATCGGTCTGAACTTCCTAAAGCAAGGGCAAAAAATAAGCCTTTGAAGTGTGAGCACTCACTTACAGGCACTAATTATAACAAACTGGAACCACAAATATTACATAACAACTTTCTAATATCAGAGACTGATATTTCCAGCTCAAAGTAAGCAGCATTTCTCCTTTGCAAAATAAAGATGCTAGCTTTTTAAAAACAATTAAATCATCCTGCAAATGGCAACACTGCCTAAAATATACTGTTTACAAATACTCCCATACTTTATAGGCATCAAAAATAAGTCCACTTTTAGACTGAAATATTTCCACTTTGGGAAACTGCTAAAATCAGCTTAAACATACAAAAAGCTTTTGCAAAAATATACTTAAAGAAATGTTAAGGGAATAAATGTTGGCTGTTATTTAAATACCTAACTCTGAAGGAGTAGTTATACAAACTATGGTATACCCACAAAATATAGCACCAACTACCTCACCATAAAAGGTATATATCTATATATAGATTTTTTTTTTTTTTTTTTTTTTTTTTTTTTGGTGCTTGGAATGAAACTCAGGACTTCACACTTGTCAGGCAGATGCTGTGCTGCTTAACTATATATATATCACTGGCCCAAAAGATATATATTAAGACAAATATGTGTATAACACTTCAAGCAAAAAAGTATATAAAACTGTACAAAATCTAAATATAATTGTATTTTTAAAAGAAAGCAAGCCTACCAAGCAGAAAATGAAATCTATATCCATAATTAAATGACTAGAAACATGGTATATCAGTGTTTGAGTGGTGGGTATAACTGACTTGTTTATTGTACCAATCACTTTCCCTATCTGTTTTAAAAAATAGGTACAACTTTTCTAAAAAATTTTTTTAATTGGTTTTATCTCCTAGTGCACTAGTTCAATCAGTAAATTCATTATTTACTCCAAAGATGACAATTTCTATAAGCAAACTTGCACAGCATACAAACTGCACCTACAGAATGAACCAGTGGAGGACAGGGTGACTCCTGAGGTGACCAGACTGGAATGGAGGTACAACAGCCATAATTAGAATGTGGCGTGGCCTGAGATTCTGAAAGGAAAGAGGAAGGAAAAAACCATTCACATTTCATACGCTTATACAACAGCAAAGCACTTTAACACAGCTTACATTCAAGTTTTTAAAAACATGACTTATACTAACCAGAACCAGATACGGTATGGCAAGATATAGAAGGGATCTCACTGGGGTCTTTCTTGGACGGCATGTTATTCATCAGAGACATCTGTGTCTGCACATGCTCACAGAGGGCCTGGTATATTATTGGTGAATACATTCTATAATGATCTCGCAATGACCAGTTTTGTGCTGTGTCTGATGCGTCTCTTTCACTTCTGGCAGAGGCTTCACTAGGTATCTGTTTCTTATTATCCAAAGACACTATTGTGGAAGAAGGAAAACAAGTTCTTGAAATATTATTCTTCAAAAACTTTCAGTGTAGGAGCTGAGTGGAGGAAAACTCTCATCATACACTTCATACAAGTGCCTTACTGCTCATTCCCTCTACAGAAAATCTCTCCAAATTCTTTTTTTTTTCCCCTTTGGTACCCAGACTTGCCAGGCAGGCACTTGTGCTGCTGAGCTATATCCCTGGCCCCACTCCAAATTCTTAAACATAGTTAATGAGTGAAAGTTTTCCCTGTCAAAACCATCCACATCAATTCTCAGAAACCTCTACTAAATGCTATTTATAAAATCTCTTCTTCAATTAAACACCTCTCGGGCTTTTGTGTTCTCCCTTGAGGTATTTATGCCCAATGAAGTCTTACCTGGCCCCTCGTCCAGTTAATGCTCTCAGGGCCAGGAAAGAAGACTATAGGTATTATGATGATTTGACAGTTAAAAATAAAAGAACTTTGAGATCAACCAGTAAGAAAATTTAATCTGTAAGTAGGGCTTCCAAAAAAATATCTTGACCTGGCATTGAAAACTTCCCAGAGCTTGACCACAATCAACTTTTCTAACTATCTTCTCCTTACTTTTGACTCAAATCCTCATTCCAGGTGGCCCATTTAGAAACCCGGCAAGCCTTTCTTCCCTTCCTGTCCCACTGCTCAGAGTGAACCATTCCTGCCCGTCCCATGCTACCTACTCCCCCAGGCTCAGCTGAGCATCTCCCTCACTCGCGAGCCCTTTCCGTCCCAAGCCAGCACTGCTCTTCACCATCCTAGAGTACGTATTACCTATTTAATCACATATCCCTGATCTGCGCCTATGTGGCGTATCTTTCGTCCTCTTCTCCATCTGACTAATCTATAAGCTTCTTTAGGCAGATTTTATCTTATACTTCATTATTTTCTCTCACTAGTCTACATATAAAACTAGAAACCAGCTAAATTAAAAAATGAAAAGCAAAGTCTTCTACACAGAACTATCCAGTATATTGATACAAAAATGTAAATTTTATTCCCCACATTCCTCATTAATAAGATTCCTTCCCTAAATATCTGCAAATGCTACTAATAGAAATGAGAGTATTCTGACAGAACACAGGTTATGAGGGTACAAAATAAATTTAGAAAAATATACAGATTGTAGTAATATTTACCTAAGCCAAATACACATACACACACACTCTATAGCACCATTCTATTTCTATGTTTACATTAAAAAATGAGTGTTTATACCTACTAAAAGACATATGTAGCCAGGGATCTAGTTCAGCGGCATAAGTGCCTGCCTAGCAAGCACAAGGTTGTGAGTTCAATCCCCGGTACAAAAAAAAAAAAAAAAGACATATATAACAACGGTCACCTACTAGCTGAGTAAACTTAAGCTTTCTTGACTTCTTTCTCATATGAAAAATGAGTTTTAAAAAATACTGCATAATATTGTTATAAGAAGTACATATACTTGTAACGTTCTTAGATCAATGTATTATATACAATAAAAATTCAATAAATGTTATACACCAAAATAGCCGCAAACTCTTAAAGACAGACAATAAATATTTCATATTCGCAAGTCTTGCTCTCTGATAATAATATACCTCAGAACATGTTCCCTTGAAGGTGATTAAAACCAAAAATAATAATAGTTATCTGTTGCCTGAATGGAAGAGCTACAACAAAACTGGTTAAAATATTTCTGCATGGCAAACATTATTTCTTATTGGATATATAATTTTATAATAAATCAAACAGAAAAATACTAAAATATTTTAAATCCAAAATCTAAGAGTGCAGCCCATGGCTGTCTGGCACACTGGACACCCTTCCCTCCTGATTCTGGTTCTCTTCTGTCCTTGGACTGCCTTTGGTCCCTTGAGGTAGGCATTTCCTCGCCACTAGAAATCTCAGCCTCACTCCCAAGGGTCCTGGGGCCCCAGTTGTTGGCTCTCACCCACCTTCCTTACAGGGCAGTTTCGGGTCCCCATCAAGCTGAACCACATCAGTATTATGCTTCTGCCAGCAGATGTCCTCATCTGACACGAATCAGTAAGTTCTAAACATAGGTCTTGAAAATCAGAGCCTCTGAATAAAAACAGCTTATTTTGCTAACTTCTAAACTTAATCTGTACAAGACTCTGCTGATAATGTTAAAGATTTGTCCTAAAGGTATAAAGTATTATAAAGCAAATAATCCAAGACAATTTGACAAACCATAAATAGCTATAAAAGTTGCACTTATATTGCTATGATATAATTTAAAATAAAGCAAACTGACAATGGGCCTGTTACTATGCAGACTCACATGAAGGATACACTCTTGCTCTTACTAATAACACCAAAGTACCTTCCATGAAAACTGTACCTGAAATATCAAGACGGCAATATGATTAACTGGTATCAACTGGTGTCTGGTGTAGTCAGAATGTAAGAAAGGGACCATTCATTTATTCAATCCACGAAAACCTTCCAGTCCGTGCTTCCTACCTGCTACTGCTATACAAAAGCACTGGCTGTTCCTTGGGTATATGCACTATGTGATAGGTAAATCCTGCCCCCCAAATATTGGGCAAACATCTAGCATAGGTTAAGAGTCACTAATCCCTGTTTATAATTTAAAATGTGTAAGACTATTTGGACTTGATGGGGTAATCAAGGCTCAAAGAATTCTGCCTGTGTGGCTTATTTCCCAAGGTGAGGAAGCCATACATACATACATTGCCCCCAGCTCACAGTGGTTCAATTTATTTTTTTTTTCTGAGTCAGGGTCTCATTATGTTGCTCTGGCTAGTCTCAGAGTCTCAGACTCAAGCAATCCTCCTGTGTCATCCTCCTGAGTGCTGGGATTACACCTATCTACCACTGAATCTGGCTCAACTGAGGATTTTTTGAATTTACAGTGGTGTAAAGTAGTAGGCCTTCAGTAAAAATCACAGTTTAGATTTGGAAGTTTTTCCCCCCTGGTCTACTGATAAAGCTGTATCACATTTTCTCATGATATAACTTCCAGGCAAGCCACACAACCATGAGGCTAAACAGATGGTGTTGCTAAACCAAGATGTTTGGTAGGTTACATTTTTTTCCAACTTCGGAGATTTTCCATTGCTGGTGGGTTTGGGGGAAACATTATACCAGCATAATGAGGATCATCTGTATATGTTATTAAAATAAGAATTATGAAACCAATAAACAGTTCTCACATCTAAAAGCCACATTTTTGGTAGTGGTATACTGGGATTGAACCCAGGATCTTGCAAATTCTAAGAAAAATTGCTGTTTAAGCCTGATGGTGCTGGCCTATAGTCCTTGGCTTAGGAGGCTGAGGCTGGAGGATCTGGATTTCAAGGCAAGCCTGGACAACATAAAGACCCTGTCACAAAACAAAACACGTATCTTAAGGTCAGAGACACTCATGTAAGCCCAACACATTTCTGGAACTGCCTCTACTTTCACATTGCATCAAGGTGAGCTTCCTTGACACCACATTCAATCCTCAAGGGGTCTCAGCCGAAAGTACCTACCGAGTTTGTGCCCCAGAAGACAGTTAAAAAACAGCAGGATGGTGTGTGTGCTGAAGTTAAAATGGTACACAGATACCAAGAACCTGCTCTAACTCCTTAATATCCTAGTTATTATCTCACTAGTGAAGAGACGGAAAAGAGAGGAAGTGCCTGACAGATCTTCTGCATTTTACTGAGAAGTGAGATAACAGACCTTGCGTTGGGTTAACAGCAGTCAACACTCACCCCACCTCCACAGACGAAGAAAAGATGCTCTTTTCTAGATAATGCTACAGTTTGATACATAGACAAACAAACAAAAAATATATATATTTGGCTGAACTAAGGGAAGGTGGCTTCTCCTTCTAATGAGACAACCTTAAGAATAAATAAGTCAATGGGAACTCACTGCAATTTTCTAATTCATAACCCAAATGAACACCATCCCTTTAAAGTAGAGCTTTTCGTCTGAAGATCAAACTGTAGAGGAAGGGCAATAAGAATACTGTGTCCTGGTCACAGGCCACAACTGCTGATCTGATTCAAATTCAAATAAGAATTTAAGGCTAGGAACCAAGAACGCCAAGCCTCTGTCATCCACCACACGTATCCTCCCTGGTCTCTATCCTGCTCTCCCAGCATGCTGGTCTGTATGGCTCCCACTTTAAACAGGCAGTCCTCCGATGTGGAGAAACCAAGGCTTTGACCTACTCCAGGGCATTTTTCAAGGTTGTGCTTCTGTCGGCAACCATGAGACATGAAGTAGTGCTTCCTCCTGTAAAGACCTATTCACATTTACTAATGAAGCGACCAATCCCCCAGCTCAAGAGTCTTCAGTTGCTGCCTAAACTTAAAGCATGTGTAACCTGTCGGGGATCATCACATCATCTCAGTGGAATCAAGGACCAGGGCACAGAACTGGTGCAAATGCACTGATGCACATGCTGTTGGCCTTGCTGTGAGAACCTCTCTCTGACCCCAGAGTTCTGTGTCTTCTGCCAGTATCCATGACGCAGTAGGACAACTTATTAGCTTTTAAAGCTAAAAGTCAAATCCCAGACCTGACACACATCAGTAGGGCCAATGTTGGATTTAAGATTAGACACATAAAGGAAAGGAACAAGTACAAAGTAAGGCCACCTTGGGCTGGTGTTGTCCCTTCAATGAAGCTCCCTGCGCTTTTCAAGGTAGGCTACTGTACAAAATATCTTTGTGAGTCCAGTAACCATTGCTCTCCCTCTTAATTCCTGGAGGCCTAGAGTTGATGATAAGAGCTCTGCACTGATGTTAGCACTAGCTAGTGCAACTCCGTATGGTTTTCCTTCTCTGAACTGTGTTTTGTTGTTTTTTGTCTTTCTGAGATAGAGCTTCACTGTACTGTTCAGGCTGGCCTTAAACTCACGTTGTAGTCCAGGCGGGCCTCAAACTCACAACAATCCTCCTGCCTCAGTCTCCCAAGTGCTGAGACTACAGGCTTGTGCCCCTAATATTGTCATCTGTGTCTTGGTGGAAGCCTGAAAGAAGTCAGAGTGTAACAAGTTGCTGCCATGACATCCCCATAAGCCCCATATAATGCAATGAGCATTCCTTGTGGAAGGTCACCTTGGAGACTAAAGGAATAGCTGCTACTACTCCTTTCTGTTTCATGGGTCCCCTACAGATAGGCCTCTTTGTAAAGGGTTAAGACAAGAATGTAGTACATGTTTTCTTACAAGGCCAGATGGTAAATATGTAGGCATAGTAGACCAGATGGGGTCTGTCACAACTACTCAATTCTACCATAGCACAAAAGCAGCCATAGAAAATAAATGACTGAGGAGGGCTATGTTCTAATAGTTTAATTTACAAATAGAAATATAAGTAAGCTATGATGTGATTTACGATGTCCAGTAGCCACATGAGAAAAATGAAAAGGACAGGTAAACTTAACTTTTCATAATGTTTTGTTTAGATCAATTTAGCCAAAACATTAACATTTCAATTGTAATACACAGAACTGAGATATTTTTTGTACTAAATCTTCTAAATCCAGTGTATATTTTATAAAAGTACAACTCCATTTGGATGCTGAATTGTCTTCAGACATACATGATCTATATTTAGATATAATAAAACTCAGAGCTGAAAAGGGAGATTCACACACATTACTAGATAAAAGTTTTACAATTGAACCAAATTTCAAACATATTAAAACTAAGCAACATTAAAAGTCAGCTCCTTGGTTGCACTGGACATCTTTCAAGTGTTCAGCAGCCACACACGGCAGGTGACTACACTCTTGCACAATACCGGTCAACAGCACGAAGCCAAAATATCAGCGTCCAAGGCAGGAGGACTGAAGGAGGCTGCATCCCCTCCCCTTGTTCCCTAGCTCAGGTCACCTGCAACAACAATGTCTACTTTATAAATGCTACATCTTCCATTGAGGCAGCCTCTTTTGCCTGGTCCTTGTGTTTCGATATCCAGGACAATGGTCTTAGGTGATTTCTAAACGTTATCCCTTTGCATACAATGAAGTGCTGACATGCTTAGCCCACCTGAACTGTGGTGCCAGCTGGTCTCATTCAGAATTCCCACTGCAATGATTTCATCCGTCCACACTCCACACGTGTTTACTATTACACCATACCCAATAAGCATAGATGACATGCTATTTAAACAACTACCATTGTGAACTTTTTCAACACTATTTTGTTCTACAGGCTTTGGAGAGATGACATATTCAAAACTTCTTTGTTCTACACTGCTGAGTTACTATACTTAATAAACTCAGCAAAGTTAACCCCAAAAGTATAAAATACCTGGGGCTGTATTCATAGGCAGTCATTGTCAAGCTGTCATTCCTTAGCTATTCGACTTGAATTTTACCTTCTTGGGTACCATGTAAACTAATTATGTGTCATATATATTTATATGTGATATGTATATGTTATAGTTATATATATTTTATTATATATTGTTATTTTGTTATATGTTTTATATAAATAATAAAGTAATTAGTATCTGCTGAAATTCAACCAATCTGTGATTATCTATGAATAAGTGGCAATGGAAACAATGATAACTTTACATACACTCAGAGTTTGAATCTCTTCTCCTATAAACCCATTGCCTTTTTTTACTCTTCTTAGAAGAGACAGTAAATAAAATGACTACTCAATTAGAAGCTAAGTAGAAAAAGAGAAGTGCAAGCACATACCTGTATCTAAATAAAAATGATTAAAATGAAAGACTTTAATTCTAATAACTTATCAAAATCCCCAGAATTAAAATTACCTTTATAAACAAGAGACAAAATGCTTACATATTTCTTTCCGAACTACTGAAGGAGCAACAGGCTTTTCATATCCTTTTTTTTTAGATCCATATTTTTTGCCTTCTAAAGATCTGGAATTACATCTATTTTCTGAACACACTGCTTCTGAACCTATTAACAATTAAAATAAAATTCATCAACTTAAAAAAAAAAACATTTGAGTAACGGTCACAGTAGAAAAGCACTTAGAAAAATAAAACCTGAATCTTCATTTCTCAAAATGTCCCGCAGCAAAGCAGCACAACCATCAAGTCCCTGTACAGTTTCAGTCTGCAAGAAAGTAATTTAGAATATACTTGAGTATAAAACAGCACTGGGGAGGGACGGAAGACAGAGATATAAAGTGAGGTTTCCAATTTATTTACAATCAAATTATTATTGGTTAGAAATGCTTTAAAGTAACAAGCTTCAGACTTCTTTAGGGAAATTAATACTTTACCTTTGCATTTTAGTCCTTCTTGCTTCTTAAACTTTTGTCTGAAGACTAATTAGCAAGTATTGTAGCTAGTTGGTTTAATCTTACCTGACTTTCCGAATCAGAATGGACGGGACAGCCTGAATCTGCATTAAAACGTGAGATTTTTCTTATATGGGCCCTAAAAAACAGGATTAACATCCTTAAAAATAAAATATTTTTTCCTTGAACTACATTACTAAGCAGTCATTTTGTTTCTAGCAAAAGTTGGAAAAGAAAGCTTACTCAACCCTATAAAAAATGGACAGAACTTTACAAAGATCGTAGACTGTTAAATCCTAAATGATCAATCTGGGGAGACAGGAAAAGCTGCTCCACTCATCTTGTGAAAGTACAAAGGCCCATTTAGTTTGCTGGGGTAAGCAAAACACAGTGCAGCCTCCCAAAACATTCCCTGCAGGTTAAATACTCACCCTTTCTTTCCATTGGTTAACTTAGCAGATCCCAGGTGCCTTCCTGAAGACAATACCTGTGGTGTAATGTATTATATTACAGTATACATAACAAAAATGTTACTCTACTTCCAATAGATCATCATAATAAAACCTGAAATGTCATGCATTTTTTTATGTTCTCAAACTCAAGCTCCGAAATGATGAAGTTTCCATCCCATTCTCTCTTGCCTCTTCTACTCCTATAAATGTGCCAATGCTAGGGACCTCATGTAAGCTTAATGCAGCACTTTTTGGCTTATTTTACTTAGCCTATCTTTGAGCTTCATGCATCTTGTGACACATGTATCAAAATACTCCCTACTTTGTAAGGCTGAATGATTTCCATTGTAATTTCCATGTGGTGGTATTTTTTTTTGTATAGGGATTGAACTCTTGACCTCATGCTTATGGGCAGGCACTTAGTTCACCCCTCAGTCCTCATTTTTTAATAAATTAGATACAGACTTAAAACCCACAGTTGTAATTGTGTGTGTGTATGTGTGTGTGAGAACCTGGGATCAAACCCAGAATCACTCATTGGGCTAGTGTTCTACCTGTGAGCTACATCGCAAGCAGCCTGTAATTTAATTCTTATAGAATAAATTTGTTCTGTATAAAATATGAGCAATTAATACATATATTTGCTCCTTCGCTCTATTTAGGCTCAAAAGAAAACTGAGATATCATTTCAAGGCTACTATAGTTAAGTTTCAACTATGTTCAATCCCTAACATGTTCTATATTTTCCAAATTCTTTGAAATATACAGGAAAATTCAAGCCACAAAATATCGTAACTGGTTCTATTTATCCAAGTTTAGAAGACGTGACAAGCACATAAAACAAAACTACTCTTAACCTGTATCTCATTTTTTCTACATCTCTTTTCTTTCTAGACTCAAAACTCAGCAATGATTTTTAGAAGAATTTACATTTTAAAAGTAAAATAGGTGGGCTATTTTTTATGTAAGTGGAAAAAATATACATTTACTTTTTATATTCACCTGATAACTTGGGACTTACCCAAGAAACAATTATAGTTGCCTTTTAGGAGGAAAACTGAGTATCTGGGAGACACAGTAGAAAGAAAAACTTTCTATAGTGTATCTTTTTATCACTTAATGGTTTAGTATCAGATAAACATCATGTCCACTCAAAATATAACTTTAAGACATCAAAGCCTCTAATCATCCCCTCCTTCCACTTTCTAGGTGTAGTCACTGTTAGCAGTTTTGTGCTTTACCTTGACGTGTTTACAAATTTCATCCCAAGAGAGCTTTGAGGAGTTAACTTGTGGTAACTGCTTAAATATGCACCCTCCCTCCCCCCTAGTAATGCTACTAGGAATACACTTTAAAAACTGTTTTTATTTTATAGGAGTTTTTATTTTGTAAGATATCCCAGAATCCAATGGAGTCAAAAAGCCAGTAATGAGAATCATCACATGAAATAAAGACACTGTGTAATGCAGCTCCACTGGTCTCCACAAAACACTCTCCGCTTGCCTTTTGTTGTATCTGTGCTGGTATCCCAGCTGGAATCATACTAAAAACCTAAGCCATAGTGCTATACATGCCAGATCAAACCCAAACCATCTCACTGCCTTTCAAAATTAAGAAAAAAGGGCTGGGGATATAGCTCAACAGTATAGCACCTGCCTGGTAAGTGCAAGGTCATGAGCTCGATCCCTAGTACCAAAACACACACACAAACAAAATTAACAAAAAGATTACATGATATATTGTGTTACTGTAAGATTTTATATATGTGTGTGTGTATATATACACACACACATATATCTACATTATAGAAAACCTGACAAAAGATAATTACCTTTGATAAAAGCACCCTGAAATAGTAACTACCATTGGAAAATTTTTATTCCCAATTTTAAAAACATTTTATTGTAAAATAATAGTACAAAGAAACCCTGTATGCTCCAATAAGATCCCACAACTTCTGACATTTTGTATTTGCTATGTGCTCTATGTCCACAGCATTATGTTTTGTCTGAACCATTTCAGAGTACGCTGCAGACTTAATATCCTAAATGGTCTTAAGAACAAGGCTATTCTGCAATATAATTATAAAAATCAAGAAATTAACCTTGATATAGTATGTACTGTAATCTACAGAACTTATTCACATTTTTCCAACTATACCAATACGGTCCTTCATAGAAAAAAATGGTCCATGTCTAATCCAGAATCACATATTGCATTAAGATCTTAAATTGCCTTTAATTTGGAATAAATCCTTCAGCTGTTATTCATTGTCTTTTATAATCTTGATATAAGAAGGTCAGTTATTTCACAGAATGTCTTTCTAGATGCTTAGATGTCTCTAACGATTCCTCATGTTCAGATGCAGGTTGTGCATTCTTATCAGGAACACAACAAAATCACGTTATCCTCAATAGTCTGTATAGACACATGACATTAGTTTGCACCATTACTGTGGATGTGGACTGATTACTTAAGTGATGCCTGTCAAGTTCTTCACTGTAAGATTACTATTTTTACTTTTGTAATTATTAAAAGACTTTGTGGGGAGAATCTTGGACACTGTGCAGATATCCTAATCACTGAACTTTCACCCAGTTGTTTTAGCATCCATTGATGATTTCTTGCTTGAGTTGGTTTTCAAATGAAGATTTTTTAACTACATCAATTCCTTCTACCTTTACTAGCTGGTGTTCCACTAATAAACGCAGAAAGAATTAGGGAAGCACTTTTCTTCTTCCTTGTCCATCTGATCCGTGTGGACCCACTGACTCCTATTTATTTCATGCAATATGATGTTACCATTATTTACTTTGATACTGACATTGCCACCAATTTAGTAAATTCAGTGGCAGCCTCTTCAATAGTTTATTTTACACCACTAGTTTTCCTTAAAGTTTGAGAACATGAATCTTGTTTCCTACCAAGTGCATGTTAACATCTATTTAGACTGATGTAGTTTATAAAAACTTTGTTTTAATTTAATCTATACTCTATGAATTGTCATTTCTAAGATGTGCGAATCTAAAATTGAGAAATGTAGCTTAGTTATAGAATGGTGTGATGTTTAAAAGAATGAACACTGGCACCAGCTACGTGAGTCTGAACCAATTTTACAGGTAACCAGCTGGGTAACTAGTTAGTTGGGAAGTTATTAGAATGCTTCATCTCTCTGTACTCAAATAATAAAAAGAGGATAATCTCCTTAAGGCTATTTTGAAGATCAAATGAGTTACTGCACCCAATATATAAAAATACAGTAGTAACAGTCACATAATAATCACTACTGTTAGCTAGTACTGCTAGGATAATTATAATCCAGGTTTTTAAAGAGAACAAAATTTTGTTGTACATCTATGTCACCCTGTATCAGTTTCTCTTTTTAATCCCAATTATTTCCAGATAGAGTTTTATACCTATTTATGCCTACTTAACAGTAAAGGGACAAGTGGATCAGAAAAACAAAGTATTTTGTACTGTCATTCCCACAGTGGTAGAACTGATTCTGAATCTAGTAACTATGATTAGGAAAACCATGTTTTGCCTCCTTGATGAATGCACATATTCTAGATTCATTAATTTTTTTTAAAAAATCTGTAGGAGTGAGGCTAGTCTGGAAGTATTTTTAGAGAAAGGAAGTGTCAAGCCAGGTCCTGGAAAAAAAAAAAAATAGTACAAGAGTCACATTAATGGAGAAAACAGCACCTCGGGTATGTTGTGACAAATGGAGATCGTTTTAAAAAATTAAATGCTCTATATATTTAAGGAAAGATTATTTTAAATAGGGCAAGGAGGTCAATATGAGGCATTCAATCCCTAAAAAATGAAATTTGACACGCCAGGTGCTATCTGAGACCTCCAAGATAAAGAGATAAAATAGGAGTGGAGACAGACTAGCAACACCTCCAGCGTGAAAACGACGATGTGCATGTCAGCAAGATCCGGAGGTGACCCTGGAACTGAGGACCGGGAGGTAGGATGTGAGGATGTGAGGCCCAGAAGAGCTTTTGGGCGGACCAGAACACCTTCCTGCAGCAAACAGAAAAGACCCCGAGAACGTAATGTTATAGTGCAAACAGGTAAGTAGTGCGGGAGAGTGGACTGCACTTGGGGAAGAAGATGACAGGCTAAAAAAGGCGTGGTTGCCTGGCCAAAGAATTTGCCTTGCAAGAAATGTGTACTTAGGCTGGGGATTTAGCTCAGCGATGCGTGCAGTGCCTGCTGGCATGCACAAGATCCTGAATTTAATTCCTGGTACCAAAAACAAAAACAAAAACCTTGTGCTTCTGCGGATTTTCAGCATAATCATTTTGCAGCATCGAGGAGCGTGCAACTGAGGAGTACTACTACAGGGAAGCGACACTAGTAGGAAGACTTCTTAGAAAGTACCAGCGATGGGGTTAGAAAATGAGCTAACAGCAAGCACCGACTGAAAAAAAGAGAAGCTGGGGCTGATGCGAGGAGGTGCCGAAGCGCGGAGAGGTGAAGTCACTGGGCCAGCAGTGAAGGCTCTGGCCTCAGCCAGGCTCGACTCCAAAGCCTGCGCCCCGATCAGGACGACCTCAACAGAATGGTCATCTACGGACGAAGCGCTGTGCGCAGCGGGGACCCTGGGAAACTGTCCCCTTCCGGGGCAGCGCCTTGTTTTTATCCTCCCAGTCGGAGCGCCCCGATCAGTCCCTCGCCAGCCCCCACAATGGACCCCTCGTTCCGCAGGCCTCACCTGGCCCGGCCGAGATCCGGACCTGACCATCTCTAGCAGCCTCAGAGAAGCCCAGACCTAGAAAAGCGAAGCCGCACTGCAAAACGAACTAACCGCCACCTGCTTCCAGCCCCGGCTGGCCCGCCCCCCGAGCTTCCGCTTCCGGGAAGGCGCCCGCCGAAACTCGCGCTCCATTGCCGCCCGGGCGCCGCCTGTGGCACCGGCGTGCGCAACAGACCGAGCTGCCCGCCCCGTCACACACGCGGGAGCGCGGGGAGAGGCCGTGGGAGCGCACAGGGGCGGGGCCGGGGAGGGGCGGGGCCTCCGGGAGGCGGGGCCGGGCGGGGCGGCGATGGGCAGAGGGCGGGGCCCAGAACCTCTAGCAGAGCGGAGTTGGAGGTTCTCCCTAAGGCTCAGGACTGAAGCGGAGCAGCTGGGGAGGTCGGACCAGCCAGCGCCAGAGCCTGGAGTAGAAGACGGGTAGATTGCAGAAGGCATGGGGTTCTGCTCTTGGGTTTTAGTTCTTTCATTTCGCTTTTATGTGTGCTGTTTTGAACGGTTTTCTTAAAACATCCGTACAGTTGCCTAGTTCTGATGGCAATTTATAAAGTATGCACTGTGGCCCCTTCTCAAACAGTGTTGGCTGTGTATTCTGTGGAGGTGATTACTGTTGATATATCAAGAATGGCATGGTATTTTTTTTTAAAGATTAAGATAAAAGAGGACATAGCAACACAGATCAGAACAAAACAATTTAAGCAACATAGTGTTTCACCACAAGACAACCCGACATAACAGTAGCTACCATAGTGTCCCTTTCCTTGAAATACTTGAGTATACCTTCATATATTATAGCATCAAACATAACAAGACAGTAAAACCATTCAAGAGAATGAAAGTATTACACGGTATTCAGAACCACCTAACAGAAAACGAACAATGGTTACTATATTATCTCCTTGTCCATAAAAAATTTTGTTTATACTATCACATATAATAAAATCCAATAAGATACAACATGATAAAACTGATGGAGACAGAAGAACAAAAGCTTGGTGGGACTTCAAAACAAGATGATATTAAATCAGCACTAGCTATTATAATGTCTTGTCTTCTTCAAAATAGCTGTTCATACCATCACAGACAATAAAATCAAACAACCCAGAATAAAACCATTCCAACTAATGAATGAAAACATTATAAGGTTGCAAAACAGTATAATGGGGAATCATGATTACCACATACTTTTATGTATTCTTACCATTTCTTACAATAGGGAAACTATTTGGTATTTATACATGTGAGTTTGATTTATTTCACTTATGAGTATGGCCTCAAGTTGTGTCCATTTATTTATAAATATCTCAATGTGATCATTCTTTATAGCTGAGTAATACTCCATTGTATAAAAATACCACAACTTTTTTATCCATTCCTTAGTTGATGGACACTGGTTGTTTCCAAGATGGCTATTACAAATTGTGCTGCTATAAACATGGTTGCACATATATTACTATGGTATGATGCTTTCAGTTCTTCTGGGAATATACCTAGAAGTGGAATAGCTGGAACGAATGGGACTTCCAATCCCAGCTTTCTGAGAAATCTCCAGACTGACCTCCACAGTGGTCGCACCAGTCTACACTCCCACCAACAGTGCCAGAGAGTTCCTTTTTCCCCACAGCCTCTCCAGCATTTGTTGTTGGTAGTTTTCTTGATCCTGGCCAAAGAATGGCATGGTATTCTTAGCACTGATGAGCTACACAAGTTGCAATAAGGATTAATCATTGATTTGAAAGGCATTGTGTTTAGTTAGGGTTAATTTTCAAAATAAATTAGGGAGCGAGTAACTAAGTTGATCCATTTTTTTATAGGAAAAAAAGCTATACTTTAAAAAAAGTGTTACTATCACTTGTAAGAACCAGGGACTAAAATCTACCAATGTATTTTACACTCATATTGAGGAATTTTAGAACACTTGAGTATTTGGTATATTAGTTTTGAATTACATTAAGCTGGGAAACCTTTTCCTTTCCCTTCCCAGCCCTCTATCAAGTATTTAACACATTCACCTCAGATTCTAAGCATTGTTCTTAGTTAACTTGATTTTTTTTTTGGTACCAGGGATCAAACCCACGACCTCATGCTTGTCAGGCAGGCACTTATGCCACTGAGCTAAATTCCCAACCTTTGATATTTTAAACATTGATTTTTCTTAATGTATATTTACTTTTAGAAAATATAAAGAAATCAGTCATATATACCAATAGTACAACATGACATGCATCACTGTGATGTATTTTCACTTAATGGCTCATCAACATTTTCTCATTAATGCAATTAGAAAACAGCTGTGTGAGATTCCGGTCTCCAGTCCTCTACTGTTTGCAATCTTATGTCCCCTCCCCTTTTGTCCTGTTATTTGCTATTATTTTAAAGGATGACTGGCCACGGTGTAGAGCAGCAGTTTCTACTGAACATCCACCAGCCAAATCCAGTCTGCTGTGTTTTGTTGTTATTCAGAAGTGAGGGCTTTTTTATTTTTATACTTTTAGTTTTTAAGTAAAAAGAACAATATTTAATGATGTGAAAATTGTGAATGTCATAATGTTATTGGAACGAAGTAGATTGTAATCCTGAAAGACCCTTTCCCCAAATCCCAAATGTTGAAATCCTGAAAGCTAAAATTCTGAAAACAGCAATTCTCATTTGGAGACGGAGCAAACCAGCTGGTTAAGACAGCCAAACTCTAGGCAAAGTATTAGTGAGTTTTGGGTCATATTTTGGCACATCTGTGAGGTGTTTTCAGAGATCAGTGAATGAGTCTCAGTGGATGAGGTGTTCACTCTCAATGTGAACAGGCGTGTGTATTAGAAAACAGTCATACTCACCTGTCTCTGCGTTACCCATAGCTGTGTTTATACAACTACAGAATGTTGTTGCCACGGAAACCCGATGTTTCATAAAGCCTGTTTCCTATCTGAATCTTTCTGAAGTAGATGTAGTGTTGTCTTTTGGAGGAAAGACAAACACGGATGTAACTTCTGCTCCATCCCATTCAGTCTCAGCCCTTCTCTTTAAGGATCCCAGTGACTGGCCTTTAAGAATAATATCACTCATATTTGACCTCTAGCTTCTGGATGTGCTTAGCAAATAGGAACAATCAGCAGAAGATAGAGAAGGAGAAGACAAATTGAAGTATTCCTCCATGTTAGCACCATCTGAATGATGTAGTAGATTTCAGCAGCTAAAGCTCCTCCCTGGAGCCTCGGGCTCGAGTTCTCTTCTGGCTCCAATAAAACATTTCCTCTTCTTGTTCCTTCAGTCTTAGGGATGATAATGGTTTGCTAATCCCCGGATGCGCTAACACCCATTAGTGATTTCCTTGTCCACAGCTCCGTAAAACTTTTAATTGTCATCACGATCTCAGCTGAGTTTCCTGTTTCCTGCCAAGATCAGACTGACAAGAAATCTGGATACAATATGAAGGCTTTGGGAGCCAGAGGAAACAGGGTGGGAGAGGGGGTGATGTGAATTCTCCCGTCCCCATTCAGTGCGGGCCTTCTCCTTGGCCCAGTGACTGACCTTGAAGGAGGACATCTCTTATACTCGCCCTGCAGACAGATAAGAGGTAAAGGAGGCAGGGGCTAGTAACAGACTTAGGAAGTAAGGCAAGGAGAGGATATTTACATTAGCCCCAATTTGAGTTTTGCACCTGGAGATTTGTTGGGAGAGAACCATTTCAAGAGGGAAGTTTATGGACCCATTTCCCTCAACATTCCATTATGAGATAATGCAAACTAGTGTTACAGGCAATTGAGAAATATTTAGGCAGTCAGACTGGGCTAAGTCCTAGGAGGAGCCAGGGCAAAAGCCCAGATACTTTGCAAATGTGGGAAAGAGGGACACTTCCTGCTGTGCGCAAACCCTCAAGACAAAAGGTAAACAAATGCATCCACATCCTAAGGACTGATATTCTAAATAGGTCTCTATCACCGGAGGAAACCAGGGGTCACCATCCCGGCGCTGTGAGGGAAGAGTCACTGCTCTTTAGGCATGCCTGCTTGCTGACTCCCTTCCCCATTTGTTCCCAATTAATCAATTTTACCTGAGCAAGTAATCTTATTGGGTAACCATCGTTGTGTCCCACCTTATGCCCACCTCACGAGTTCCCATGTTTT